TCAATAAAATTATTACATTTATTACAGATTTATTATAATCCAGTAAATAAGGACACGAAAAGATCTCGGCGTAATTCGTCGATCTTGACCCTTTAGGCGGATTGTGTACATTTTCAGGAGTAAGGGGTAAATTGTAAACCAGAAAAAATGGTCCCAAATGTTTTTTTCGCAAATATCTGCCAAAATATGCAATTTACACAATTTTTCTTGAAATAATATATGAAACTTAGGTAATTACCTACAAAAATGGTCCTTATCGTTTTTTACATAGAATTAGTAGTTTTCTACACATTTATGCTGATGACAGCGCTCTACTCGTAGTTGCAAATACGTTACAGCAATTACAGGAAATGCAATGTATACCTGGGCATACCAGACTTTGGGCCTTAAGCTGAACATCGATAAAACTAAAATCATGTGCACTTCCCCGGAAAATCATAACAGCGCTATAAAAATCGGAGAACTATTGGAATATGTATGGGAATTTAATTATATACCTCGGCAGTTTGATTTCGGAAAAGGCAAATATCAACTCTGAAATTCAGCACAGAATTAGCAGCGCCTCAAGGGCATTCTGTAAATTAAAAGACAGGGTTTTCTACAATTATGACTTGAGCACAAAAACGAAACTTGCAGTGTATCGAGCAGTAATAATCCCTACCATGTTATTTGGAAGCGAAACCTGGGTGCCGTACCGCCGGCACACGAGCGCATTAAACATTTTGCAACAGAGACACCTTAGACAACTATTAAGAATCAAATGGTACCACCATGTCTCAAACGTATATCAGTCCTTGAAAAAGCAAGCTGCGAGAGCGCTGAATTCATGATTATTAAATCTCGCTTAAGATGGGCTGGCCACATCTTCTGATGCGTGTCAAATACTCGTCACACTTCGAGTAATGGCAGTAAGTAAGTAAGTAGTTTTCGAGATATTCCTGAATTTTCTCTCTAGGTTTTAAACACTCCGCCAGAGTGACGAAGGATTTGATTTTCAAATTCTTTGATTTTCACAATAACTGCCTATTCTGTGAATCAGAAGCCTCAATACTCATAACTGAAGGAGGCATCTGCAAAAAGAAAGACAATCTATCATTTCAAAGCCAGAATTTGCGATAAAACTGCAGATGTGATAGAAGATAATATAGCAAACGAAGATGCCAAAAAGCTCTTTGCAAAAAATTCATTGATTGATATGGTCAGTGCGGGCTGGTGCGGGTGGCCTTTTCTTAACGTGAGCGTACGCTATCGCAAGACAAGTTGAGCCGAACTCCTCTTCATATCGAACGTTAGGCGGGTTGGTTAGCGTGGTTATTTGGAAGGTGTTAATTGTTAATTCATTGGTTAGTCATAGGTAATTATATGATTAATTATTTCTTTAGTATTTTCTTATCTTATTTACATCAGTGTACACAAACAATGTGAAAACAAAATAGAAAACTTTGCTGTAACGCATATTATATGTTCGGATGCCAGATAAGCCAGATATCACAAGCATTGTCATACACAATTTTATAAGTCATGTTCCACAGCCTCTGGACCCAAGGTTGCCACCTTTTGTATTTAAAAAATCGGGACAGCACTAGTGCAACCTTTTTTCTTAAATGTAAAATTTTATGTGCCCATCGGATTTTGAAACAATATTTTGTGCCTTTTTGCGTCAACTTAAAAAAAACTATTCGATATTTATAAAAAATTATGTAAAAATAAAAAGTTGAAAACAAAATTAGTAAACAATCAATTAAATCTAAAACAACTAGAAAACAAAATCAAAAGTTTCAGCTGTATAATCTGTATAATTGGCTTTATTAGTTTATTTATCATTTTTAAATGAACATTTTTTGGCAAAATAAAACACTAATTCCTCACAATACACAAAAACACTTTAAAATATAACATACTTAGTATACACCCCAACTAACATTTTTTGTTTTATAATGGTAATGGTTACGTTTCGATAACCTACTTAATAAAACCTAAGAGCCTATCAATTGTTCCCGAAACGTTTTCGTTACCCTTATAACACCCCTATAGCACTTAAATGGAGAATCTTATAAAGGTAACGGTGACCGAATTTTAGTACCTTATAAAACCTTTAACGTGACCTTTACTCTCCATTTATTGGTAACTAAGAGGTTGTCTTTACCTTTATAAATCATAAATAAGTTTTATAGCGACAAGGAATACATTTTCGTTACCTCTTTAAAACCTTTATATTCCTTTTATAGTGTTTATAAACACCAAAATAAAAAACGCCCCTTTTAAGTTCATCTCTTTCTACAACGTTTGTTTGCAATATATTCTATTTCAAGTCCTTGTCATTATTATTCTGCTTGTAGTTTAAAGTTGACAGCAATGGATTTTCACTTTGATGAAAATGGCGTGTTATAATAATTATCATAACAACTTAAATACTCTGTAAGAATTCTATGAGGACTAAATTTTATTGGCACGGAAAATTTATCGAGTAATATTAACATTTTACCCTTCTTAAAACTAAAGCGCCCCCGTTTAGTCAACTCAAATATAATTTATTTTGTGAAAACCAAAAAATTAAATTTAAGTCTCATGATTTGTTTTTTTTTGCAAATAAACTGCGCAACATTTCTTAAGCCCATGCTTTTGAAAAAATACGTCTTAAAGCTTCGGTAATATTGCTTAAAATGCAATATTCTTCTTTTTTGTGTAAGTACAACAACACAAATATAAAATGGCCGCCTTATAAAAGGACGTCATGTTCGCCATTTCGCCTTTTAAAAACCTCTAGTTTTATATGGGCCTTTAAGTAATCATCAACACTTTAAAAACTCTTATAACACTTCCCTAGGTGTCATGGGAATTTTGCTCTTCCAATAAAACCTGAGGTGCTTTTGTGATACTTAATAGTTTTATAAGTTAACAAAAAGATTTTTATAGAAACTTGACCATTGACTATAACCCCACTTTTTGTTTCGGGCGCTTTGGCTTTTGCAAAACATTTTTTTAATCAAAATAATTAAAACAATACCCTTCAATACACTTCAAAATTGTCCACACCACAGAAGATGGAAAATCAACACCGTCTTTGAATCTATACATTCTTCCAAAGGTCCTCTGTCCCTTCCTTCATCGGTGGTAGTCGATTCAGTCGAAGTATTTGGTAATATATCTTCTTGAGAAATGTCTAAGTTTTGGTAATTTTTAGTAGTTGTGGGTGGTGTGCTTCCCAAAATATTTTCGCGGGTTTTAACGCACTTTCTATAAAAACTGCTAATGTATTTAATTTTTTCCAATTTTTTCTTTCTACTTCCATCTTTGATTTACAAAAGCAAAACAGGAACATAAAGCATAACCCAACCCTAAAAATATAGCGCCCCCTATTCTACACATGAAAGGAGTTGCTACTGAGCCTATAAGTTTTATAAAATTCTTTAGGTTTTGTAGTAGCTGTAGAATGTTTATTAGGTGCCTTAGGATTTATAAGGGTTTTACGAAGTAAGCTATAGTAAAAGAGTAAAAGTTTTATAATAAGAGTAAAAGATTTATAATAAGGTTTTTAAAAACGCTATAAAACCCTTTTAAAAAACCTTAAGTAACCAATACCAAAGGTTTTATAAATCAGGTAACGAAAACATTTTGGATGCAATATTATAAAACTTCAAGTATTTTGGTATTTTTTCGAGGTGTTACAAAACTTTTAACACCAATAGTGTTCTTATAAGACTTTAAACACTCTTATAAATGTTAAGGTTCCTTATAGACGTCTTATAAATATCCGTTACCTTTTAATAAAACTTTAGGCTCCGAAAAATGTTACTTGGGACAAGCATAAAAAGGCTTTAACCCTTCAAGTGCGGTAATTTCCATTAAACACTTTACCACACTTTACTTTTAAAACTGATGGTTAGCTTCAAATTTATGGTTAGCGAAACGAGCGTCCAGTGTTAAAAGCAAAGTGTTTTAGTGTATTGCGGTGAATTAGTGTTTAATTTTGCTGTTGTAACACCAAAGATTCCAACCCCCCAACTGTATTGAATATTTTTAATTTCTTTTGTTGCTGTAATAATAAAAGCCTTATCATTTTTAATAAAATCCATAAATTCTTATATGCGATATATTAAAATTAAATGAGATTTGAAGTTCCGTTCTAATGAGCTAAACTGAGGCTTAACTGAACATCTAAAAAGTCAAGAGAAAAAGTTTTGAGAATATGTATTTTGAGAATACGAATTGATTGAAATTTTGAAAAAACGTACAAATACAAATAATCAAAATTAATTATTTCAAGAACACTATAGTTATTACATTTTCTTAATTCGTCTCCGGCTGGAATACTGATGTACAATTTTTCAAAAAGATTGTGTATTTGATTATTTTTTCTTTTTAACTTTATGGTCATCTCGAAAACTGCTAATTCTACGTAAAAATTATAAGGACCATTTTTGTAGGTAATTATGTAAGCTTCATTTTATGCCAAGAAAAATTTTGTAAATTACATATTTTGGCAGATATTTGCGAAAACTCATTTTTGGGCCAAAGCTGTGCTCGGTGCTCGGTCAGCTTTGGCGTTACAATTTTCCCCCTAAAACTACTCCTCCAAAAGGTACACAATCTGCCTGAAAAGTCCCGGTGGACGAATTAGGCCGCGGTTTCAACCTTCATTTACTGAACTATTAAGGGTAATATACTCATTTTACACATGAGATCTCCCTAATCTAGAAAAAAATAGTTAGGAAATAATACCTGTGAAAGACTGAAATACTCATAAAACAATCAAGAGCTTTAGTTACTAATTATTATTAGACTAATTATTCCCTGTAGTATGAGAAATAAAACAAAATCAAGTAATCTAGATACTGTGTTTTAGCTAGAAAAATTAACATCTAAAAAATACCATTTTACTAGATTTGACCAAACATCTACTTATAGTTTATCCCATCTTTATCCAGAGATAGTTTAGAAGCATTTTAATCACAGAACAGATTTTAATGCACCCTGATGCACCTAAATAACCTCTGCACAGTAAAAATATACAGTTACTTATTGTTACTATCGTTATTTAAAATGCATAACCGTGAAACAGATCCCATTTAGTGCACCACATGGCCCCAGGTAGACATTTAAAAAGCCCGCCAAGTGGCAGCTGTCCGCTCGGTCTCCGAGGCTTCGCAATGAGGGGGCCACGCGCAGGTCAAGACACCCACCCTAAATTCGTCCTCAGTCCCATTTCCATCGTTGAGGCGGCGCCCCACACCAGTTCATTCTCATTACGGTTGCCAGGGCTTCGTACGCGTCCGGAAAGACGTTATTCTGACGTTGATTTTCGACCGAAAAATCTCTGATCTCGAACGGAATATTACAAACAAAAATGGAGACAAACGAGCCTTTACAAGTGATTAACGATGCTTGGAGAAGTTACGCAACTATATGCAGATTGTGTTTGCAAAAGGACGGCTTTATGCTGGGTATCTTTAACAATATACAAGGAAAAGAGAAGAGTATATCAAAGAAAATCGTCGACTGCACGGCATTATCTGTAAGTATCAATATTATGTTGATTTAAATCGCCTTTATTGGTGCAATATATTCACTAATTGCATGGACTAAATTAATAAGTACGATATTTTAGTGGTATTTGACGGAAAATAAGGATAAATTACCTCCCAATTTCCTTTGTTTTCTTAAATTTTAATGATCGTCCATATTGGAAATTTTGAGGTGGTTTACACTGTTGCCTGGTGTTTTTAATTTATTTTATGCAACTCTTTTATATACGCTGTAGTAGTTTTTTGATATCGTTATAGACTTTGTTCTCTTTATACTACTTATTAGAACAATGTGTTCTAGTGCTTGTATTAAAAATTATAATTTGGTTAAATTGATAATTTATGTTATGAAATATTTATTTGGGGTTATATTTCCGTTGTCATGCGAATTACATTACAAACTGGCAACGTAGTATTGACGTTTCCGGTGACGATTCCGACATTTCTAAGACGCGGTAAATTTAAGAGCTTATTGATTACACATTCAAATATAAATAAAGTGTAATTAGGTTGTTTGTCCATTTATATTTGAAGTGCTAGTTAAGTTCATATCTCTGTTAGTATTTCTCCACAAACTAAATAGATCTTTTTAATTTATTACTATACGCTAGAAGATCTGTTTAATTCTGTACGGTGTAAAAGTAAAACATATTTTTTTATGTAATAAGATAGATATGATAAGATAGAAGTAATACATTTATGTTAACTGAATTATTGCTTTTCCCCGGAATTTATGATTAATAATTTGTGATGTATCGTGGTGGCTTATCAATAAATTTGAAATGTTAGATATACAGGGTGACCTTAGTTAATTTTGAAAAAGCTCTACAGTATGTCCCCGAATTGTCTTTACAAGAGGAAAAACTTTTTTATTATTGACATTTTGAGAAAAATGCATTTTTCATAAAACATTTTGCTTGTTCTAAAATGGTTAATCCTGTTTATACTTTTCCAAATTTTCATACCGTTTTAGAGAAAATTAAAAAAAACATGAAGATATCCTAAAGCCCTAAAAATCATAAGGCGTTTCTATGGCAATATAATTTCGATTTCATTCTTTGATAGATGTTTAGGACTTTAAGAAAAAATCATATTCAACCATATATTTTCATGTTTTTTAATTTTCTCTAAAACGGTATACTTAAGCCAGTCAAATAGAGGATTTATTAATTAAGAGAGTTACTTGGAAAAAAGTGTTATTTGTGAAAAGTGAAAACTACCTATTAATTATTGTTTTGATTTGTTCATTTGACGTGAAAGAGAAGTATCCTTTGCACGGTTGCTGAGTCAGAAAGTTCAAAAGATGGTAGAATTCTTGTTTTTTTTTAGATTTTCATCTTCACCCTTTCCAAAACGTTGGGTTCTAATATTTTATTATTACGTAAATTGAAGCTACCAATAAGAAATGCATTTTTATCAAAATGTCAATAATAAATAAGTTTTACATCGTGTGAAGACAATTCGGGGACACTGTATATGGCGTTTCCTGGTTGAGATTATAATCATATTATAATAAAATATGTTGGAATGATAGAGGAATACATCATCGTATGTTATCACTCGTATTGAAAATAATAATATAATCATATTTCAGATATATTAGTCGGTGTAGACTATGAAATTGTGTTATTGTTAAAATGAAAACTTATATTCTTGAGTCTACCGAGGAAACAAAATAAGTATACAGCATTTCTTTAGAATTCGAAGATAAAATATGAAACAGAAAATCTGATGTTTGCAGCGGTTTATTGGAACAGCGGGCTACCTTAAATAATGAAATAGAAATGATTTGGCTTTTAATAGGGCGATCCGAGATTCGTTCTGCAGACACTTTAATAATTATCTTATACGGGTGCGTTTCAAAATGTGGCTTATCCCTATAACTTTTTTATTTTTTAGATTTCCAAAGCACCTTTTTACGTAGAATTCAATGGTTTTAGTATATTTTTCTTTAAATTAATAATATAATTTAAGAGTTATCAACAGAAAAATTTGATTTTTTTATTTGGGACACCCTGTATATTTTTAATTAAGTGAAAAGAACTTAAAATTACCTTTCCAAAAATGTAGCACACTTGATATTTTGTTACAGTCCCCTTCGAAATACAGAATTTTTATAAGTCCGCCACTTTTAACTAGTAGGCTTTAAGGGGTCCAAAAAGCCTACTAGTTATTAATAATCTGCCTCTAAAGCCGCGTACACACTTAGCGAACGCATACGGCCGCATGGCTTAGAACGAACGAATTCGGGAAATGTGTACATAGCAACGAACGCATACGTTCGCGTGCGGTTGCGTTCGCTGACTTGGCGGTACTTCAAAAAGAATACTACCGCACGCAAACAGATGTAAGATGCGTTCACCAAGTGTGTACGTAACAGCGAACAGCGAAAAAGTACTTCAAACAAAATCACCGCATTTGTGCAGATTTGGTCGAACGTATATGCGTTCGCTAAGTGTGTACGCGGCTTAATGGAACTCGATTTACTATTATTATATATATATGAAAAAGGAAAATACAGAAATTAGAAAGGAAAATTCTGAAGTGCGTGATGAATTGCGGAATATGAAAAGAGTAATGGAAATATTAGAAAAAGAGAGTAAAAAAAATAATGTAGTAATAAATGGATTAAAAATGACCACAAATGAACCACTGGTCTTAAAAGAACATATTAAAGATTTTAGCGGTTATGTGCCCCACAGAGTTAATGAATTCCGCGAGAAATGTTCAAAAAACGGTCCCGGCTGCATCTCACGGTGGAAAGACCCAATATAAAATGTTGGACATTGACTTAAAAATAAAATTTTAAATTAAATAATTTTGGTAGAAGATTTGAATTACTTAAAGTCCAGACCGTTATATTTTATCCAACTCAAAAAAATATTTTTAATTATATATCTGTTTGAAAAGTTTCAAATGAAGATATTACACTGACTTAATTATGGTATTCATTTCTTGTGAAACAACCTAGTTTTATAAAAACTGGCAAAGACATTAATAATTTTTTTTAACTATACATATTAGTGCAAACGATTGTTTTCACTTTAAAATAAAAGATATATATAGTCACAAAAGTTTGGGAGAACAATTGTATATAAGAGACACATAAACATTTTTTTGCTGCTAAATACTATATTTAGTAGCAAAAAAATGTGTATGTAGAAAAATAAAAAAATGGCCAAAGTTGGCCAAGACTTTATATATATCACAAGGTAGATTAAGCCTTTCTAATAACGAAACTAATTTAACATCTTGCCCCAGCTTGCCCCCCTCTAAAAATTTCCATTTAATATATTACTAATACATGCTATACTAAAATCAAAAACCTTTTCAATTCCAATAAATTAATTTAAAATTTTTAGAGTCAAATTATCTTTATTTTTTTATAAATTTATTAATATTTAATTATTAATTGGATAAATACAAAATGACGCTAAAATCAAAAACAGATACAGGGTGCTACAAATATATGGAAAACTTATAAACTATTGGAAAAAGAAAAGAGGGTTAAAGTGCAGTGTTGAGGTTTTTGTTTGTAATAAAAATATTCTAGTGCGTTGATTTACTGTTATATTCTTTGCTTATAATAAAGTTATGGTACAGGGTGTCCCACTAAGAATAGCTCTCGGCTATATCTCGGAAAGTATTAGCCGTGAGGCTTGCGGAAAAAAATATTCATAACTAAAGAGACCATGAGAAAATGCTGGAAATTATTTTCAAATTTGTAGAATGGCCGCTAGAGGGCGCAACTGCTATAAAAAAATAAGAAAATGGAGTTTTTACACAACTTTGCCTATATAAGGGGTACTATAAATAATAGCTTCATAATCTTCAGTAAATTCTGAATATTTTTTGTTAGAACCATTTTCCCCTATCTACCAAAATAAAGTGGTGGGGGAAGGTTAGATCTGTTTTTATTTAAATATTAATAATTCCGGACTGGATGGACGGAATCCATCTAACGGGGGCTCGTTTAAAAGACCGTTTCTTACTCTATATTATACCATATAAACAATAATAGTAAGCTTTTGAACGTAGATGCTAGGGGCGCTGTCTTGCAAATTAACAAACATAGCGCGTTTTTTCAAAAAAAAAAATAAATGCGATGGTATATGTAATTTTAGCTGATAGTAAAGAGTAATGAAAGCTTAAAAAGTCAGTGAAAACCGCATCTTGATATCTTCTTTCAAATCGAAGATATTAGCAAAATTATATTAAATAGGAAAATATATGTAAGCCCTTAATTACCATATTTTTATAACACGGTATCAGTAGTCTTAGATTTCAGTGGTAAAATCTAAAGCTATTTCTTTTTAAAAGGATCAAAACTAAAACATTCCACGACAGTTTGGCAAAGTTTATAAGCATTTAAAAATTGTAAGATTTTTCCAAAACATACTATATTTTAGGCCACCCTGTAGATGGTTTGTAATGAGCCAACCACTTTCTTTCATTAAAATTTAAAATTGTTCTGTTTATACATTATTACGGTATATAAAAATAATTTTTTCGTCTTTTGGATTAAAAGTGTTGAGAAGAAAACCTCATGTCCAACCGCTCCCATAAGCTCGTTCCACTGTGGCATCTGTCCGTAACAGAACATGGTCGACATGTCGAACACCAGTAGCAAAATCTCATGTCTTGGTTTGCTATTAATTTTTATTGTTATTATATATATATAGTTTTAAATGTGTTAATTTTGTTAAATGTGGTTTAAATTGTTATAAAATTCTGCATCTCTCATTGCAAATATTATTTTCGTTTTAATTGCTGCTCACAGATAGAATTTTTTTGCATTTCCGCGCTGTTCAAAGCTCAATTTTTTAAACTCTATATCTCTAAGAGAAATCGAGCAAAATACCAATTATGCTAAATTTTTGTAAAGGTATTTTTTTTTCAATAAATTAAAAATATACAGAGTGTCCCATATAAAAAATCAAATTTTCTGTTAATAATTCTTAAATTATTAATTAAAAAAATATACTTAAACCATTAAATTCTACGTAAAAAGGTGCTTTGGAAATGTTCTTACAGATACAAAATATTTCATAGCAAAAAAGTTACAACGATTTGTTAAAAATGCACATTTTTGCAAAACACCCCGTAACTCCCAAACGGTAACAGATATCGATGTGCGGTTTTGGCCATCATGTTTTTGATAAAAATTGAGCTCCAGATACCGATATTAGTTTTCGTCTATCTCCTATAGAAAAGGGTGTTTCCTTTGAAAGCGTACTTCTTCATACCAGACAATTCTATTGTCTGATTCCCTTACTTCTCGACTTGACTAAAAGATGGCGCCTGAAAAAGTCTTTTAATTTCTGGCGGATACGTTGCGGTTGTGCAGGCAACCAGTAATACATTTTTAATTTCTGGCGGATAGGCCATTTTTCTTGACAATATAATTAGATAAATATTTTGCTGACAAACGGACTACCATCAATTATTTTTAATAGAGGACATATATATTGCCTAAAAAAAATATAACTTTTAATTGCAGTATTTATAATTCACCATAGCTTTTAATTCTAATAAATGTTTTTCTAGGTGCATCAGGGCGACGGACTTCCAAACGTAATATGCCACCGATGTCTTTTCAAAATAGAATTTTGTCTGGAATTCCGACAATTATGTTTCATATCGGACGCCACCCTTCGACAGCTAAGCGGAATGTCCAAAGAAAATGGCGATAATTCGAATCCTCAGCCGCATCTGCCCTTTTACGAGCAACTCGCTGGGAACGGAAGCGATGAAAATGTTGTTATGGTTAGTACCCATTCAGTGTATTATTAGTATTATTACGAGTATTATTACTATTATGTTAAATATTAGGTCCAGCGAAAGGTTGTAATATGGTTGTGACAGTTGTTGTCCACCATGGTAATTTAAATGCTAGATCATAGTGGTAGATATTTTAAGCATCATTTTTTTGAATATTGTTTGTCGAAATCTTATGTTTTCTTAGGGGCCAGACCATATACCCTAAAATACCGGGTTCGTCTCAAAAGTGGCTCACCCCTATAACTTATTTACTTTTTCAGATAAAAAAAACGAGATTTGGTATGTTAGTATATGACATAAATTAGGATTGATTGACGCATTCAATTGTTTTCTGTCACTTCCTTTTGAATGACATATCATATGTCAACTTTTGACATATCCATTCAAAAACAAATTGTATTTTAAACTTGAATCTAGAGTGCCATGGGTGTGTTAAAAACACTAATTTTTAATCAAGGAGCCTTGAAAAAATAGATTTGATCGTCTAATGTTTTTGGTGTCTGGTCCTGGCTGGTTAAAAGATGCCCAAATGGTATTTTTAATCATATCTTAATTTTTTCAAATGGAAGGAGGCTGGATCATTAACATATTTGGAAAAAGCATTTTTTACGAATAATTTGATACCACACACTTTGCTATTTCGAGTCAAATTGTCGTTATGAACCGCATGTTAGCATTTCAAATAAACCATATGCGAAAATGTTAAAAGTTGACATATGACATGTCATTCTATTCAGAGTGTCATTTTCTATCGAATGAAGTAAAAAAAATACCGAGGGTGCTATTTAAAAATCGAAAGTTGCAGTAATTTCCGGTGAAACCGGAAGTGACGGAAAACAATGGAATATGTCAAATAATCCTAATTTATGTCATATACTAACATTCTAAATCTTGTTGTTTTACCTGAAAAAATAAAAAAGTTATAGGGGTGAGCCACTTTTGAGACGCACCCGGTATATTAATATTCCTGTATCATAATATAATACTCTCTTATAATCAGGGGACAAAATTATTTGTACCAGTGGCGGTTCTTAGTAAACCCTTATTAGTAAACTCTTCAATTTAATGCCTTTTCTTGAGAGAAAAAAAAACTAATTTAAATTTTATTTTATAATTATTTCATTATTTCTCTTCATTTCAAAATCCATTCGTCATAGATTTGAAATTAACACACAAAACCCTCTATTACTTTCTAAAAGAAATATCTCCATTGCTATAGGCTTGGTGCATTCTCCGCTGGTGCTTCCCCCATCGGAGAATATCATAAACAACTGGTATATTATACAAATACACTGGTTTAAATAGCGAGTATACGAAAAAAATTATATAATTATTCTAAAAGTGTTAGGAAGTATAATTTGTGAAAATTGTAAAAATAAAAAAGTAAATATTTTGATATCTTCAGAAGGTCTAACTTGTATTATAATTTATTATTCCAGCTAAAAACCTTTTTAGATGAGTTAGACTACAGTAGGTATAGTTTTATTCACCGGTTTTGCTAGTGGTGTCATAATTGGGGCTATTTCGGTTATAACGAATTTTTTTAAAGATACATAATTATAATTTTAGAAGATGTTCATAAAACATTTAATCACTAGTTAATTAAAAAAAAATATACCATTAATATTGCAAGTTATAGTCTCTTACCGTTTACTCATTTTTTGTTTCGTCGAACTGCCTGAATCCATTTTTGCTTTTGATCAAATCGGTGTGAGAAACTGTGAAGCTATAAAATGTTGTTTCGGAACAGTTGAATATCCGGGAAAGTTGAGTTATTGATTGTTATTGCACCCAACAAAGCCCTAATCACAGCCCTAATTAGGCTCTCCTTTAAGCGTTAACATTTTTTCGGCAATTTTATTAACATATTTAACAGCGTTACATCAGACAAACCTCGTACTTGAGTGTTTTATAGTTTCAATAACTGCACTAGTAAAAAATCTAAATAATTAATTATTATGACAAAACCACGATTTTAATATTATTTCAATGCGATCGACATAAACGGTAAATAGACTGCGTGAAATACTTTATAGTCGGCACTTCTAATTGCGTCCGTTCGAGCGCTGCGGTCGGAATTTTTAAAATGAACTGAAATGCACCAAGCCTATACATTTAATATTGCAATAATAATAATAGTTTAGACATTTTTATTTTTATCTTGCTAGTTGCACCAAAAAAATAAATAAAATAAAACATTAGATTATTTCTAGATTATTGAATATATTTTTGTTTAATTTACAACTTTTAATTAATTTGACTGAATAATCATATTATGCATTAAGCTTCTTGTAATTTACATACTATGTAAATGCAAATAGCTAGCGCCTTTAATTTTCAGACAAAAATACTTTATATGTACTTGTAAATAAAGAACTACAGTTTTTGACCATAAGTAAATAATATGATTATGTAGCAGGTCAGGGAATCGAATTTTTGATTAATAATTGCTCTACTTCTATTTTTGTAATTGAAACTTTCCGTTATCTTAAACAAAAAAGTAGGCCACACGCAACAAAATGGAATAATGTTAAATTAAAAGCGTGACTTCGTACCCCCTTACTTATGATATCAGTATATAGTATTTTTAGACATATTTATACCTTTAAAATTAATAATATACAGGGCGATTGATAGTGATATTTATTAGGAACGTTAGTAATGAAATATAAGTTTAATAATAATGAAAATGATTTATTAAAATGCAGTACAAAAAATTATAATTGACTAAAAAAATACTATAATAACAAATTTCTTCTGTTTGCCACGTTATTTATATAGATCTAGATAGATTTTAAAAAGTGAGGCAGGTACAATTAATAATATCATAATCGGCATAAAAGTTGCAGATCACGACATCGTACAATAAATTAAAATTCGTAAAATAAATTAAAATTATTAATTAAAAAAATCTGTATAAAGAAACGCAAGTATACCAAATTTGGACCTAATCGAAATGCAGGAAATGATATCATAATATTGTACTATATTATGGTACCACTCGATATGCTTTAAGGTACCATAATATTGCAATGTCACCGAAGATGACCAGAAATATACCAAATTTAAGCCCAATCGAACGCCATGTATGTAGTATGGTACTATATTATCGGAGGAGGTTGATGACCACTTCTCGGAGGAGGAACATCTGTTGCCAGGAGGGGATGGGAAATACCCTGTCCTCCCTACAACAGGGGGATCCTTACCTACCCCAGAAACCTGATGCATGGGATATCCCAAATAAACCTGCACCATGCAAAAGGGTCTTCCGCCACAATCACAAGACTCTTTGAGAAAAACCAATATGTAATGGTACTAGCCCAGGAACCCTGGGTGTACCAGGGACAAATTAAAGGGTTGTCTGGAAAAAATTCCAATGTAATATATGATAACAGGCAGGAATTTCCCCGAGCCTGTATTCTTATAAGAAACAACATTAACTACACATGTGTTTCAGAATTTACAACCCGAGATCTTGTTCCAATCATGGTTCAACTTTATTAAACTGTAGTTGTTAAAACAACGCAAGGAACTCCACAAGGTGGAGTGACCTCCCCCCTACTGTGGAGCTTGGTAGTGGATGAACTACTGGAAAAATTAACTCTAGCGGGAATACACTGCATAGGGTACGCAGATGACATAGTCATCATTGCACGGGGGAAACATGAAGGCACCCTGTGTGATATTATCCAAAGAGGATTCCGCATCGCTGAGAGATGGTGCAGGACTGTCGGGCTGAGTATTAACTCAGATAAAACCGCAGTAGTGCCATTCACCAGAAAGCGAAGTTTGAAAAACTTGAAAAGAATCCATCTAGATGGAAAGGAAATACTGCCATCACAGGAAGTGAAATATCTGGGAATAACCCTGGATAGTAAACTTCTCTGGAACAGGCATATTAAGAACATTACCAGCAAAGCCACAAAGGCTCTCATGATATGCAGAAGACTGGCGGGAAATAGGTGGGGCTGCGCCCCTAACATTTTGCGCTGGATGTATACCATGATAGTAAGACCCATGATTACTTATGGAGCAGTTGCTTGGTATACAAAACTAGAGCAACGTACAGCAAGGCAAACCCTGTGCAAAGTACAGAGACTGGCATGTATCTGCATCACAGGTGCCATGAGAACATGTCCAACAGCAGCAATGGAGGTCATTCTAGACCTAACACCACTGCATATTGTCGTCGGTAGTTATGCCAATGCGACAATGATTAGAATGGTCATTGACGGAAACAGTACTGGGAGAATTTTCAGGTCAGGGGCTTGGAACACCCTCAAAAAGAAAATTCCACTTCTCCAACTCCCAGTGGATGACATACCAAGAATTTACAACTTTGAGAAACACCTCACTGTAGTATTGAGTAATAAAAAGGATTGGAAGAAAGAAACGCTTACTCAGCATATAAAAGACCATACCATCACGTGGTATACTGATGCTTCCAAAACCAAAGCAGGGACAGGGATAGGAGTATTTGGGCCGAAAACTGAATACTCCGAACCAATGGGCACCTACCCCAGTATCCTTCAGGCAGAAATTTGCGCTATCGAAAGATGCGTACAATTTATCTTGGATAGGAACTATCGAAAACAGGAAATTGCCATCCTATCCGATAGTCAAGCAGCACTTAACGCGATCAACTCAGTAACCATCAATTCGAAGTTGGTCAAAGAATGCCTAGAGAAGCTCAACAAATTAGGCAAAGAAAATAAAGTCCTCCTACTCTGGGTGCCTGCTCACCAAGGGATAGAAGGCAATGAAAAAGCAAATGATCTAGTTAGAAAAGGAGCGAACACTCCACTAACTGGACCAGAACCGTTCTGTTTTCCAAACGGGAACCAACTGAAAGCGGAACTGAAGAATCTGGAAGACTCCATCCATAACTTGGAATGGGTGTCCTCCAACGGTCTAAGACACTCGAAAAAGTTCCTTAGAACTTATGACCGAGAAAAATCAAAGGTTTTCCTTGATTTAAGTTAAAACAATCTTCGGATTGTCACGGGGTTTCTAACAGGACACTGTCTCCTCAACGAACACCTCAGTAGGCTGAAACTGAGAAACAACGGCGAATGCAGATTTTGTGGGGAAAATGGGGAAACACCAGAATACCTTATCACTGAGTGCGCCGAGACGACGACCATTCGTGCCATGAACCTTGGTATGTCTGATGTCGAGGATGGAGAGCTGGCCTCTGTGGAGCCGTCTCAGATACTGGCTTTTCTTATAGCCCTGAGACTGTATGATGAGTTATAACTCGTTATAACTCAAGAAAGGGGAACACAAAATAGATCTATAAGGTCGCGTTGATTAACTCCCCTCCTAAACATTCTACATTCTACTATATTATGGTACCACTTGATATGCTTCATGGTACCCTAATATTGCAATGTCATCAAAAATACGCAAGTATATATCAAATATGTGAGCCCAATCGAACATCAGGAAGTAGTAACATAATATGGTACTATAAAAGGTACCACTTTATAAACTCCATGGTACCATAAAAGTACAATGTCAACCAAACCAAACCAAGTTTAAGCCCTATCGACCGCCATGTATCTAATATGGTACTATATTATGGTATGGTACCACTTGATATGCTTCATGGCTTCATGGTACCATAATATTGCAATGTCCTCAAAAATACGCAAGTATATATATCAAATATGAGCCCAATCGAACGTCAGAAAGTGATCTCATAATATGGTATTATAGAAGGTACCACTTTATATGCTCCATGGTACCATAATATTACAATGTTACTAAAGATAAGTAGAATACTAAGTTTAAGCTCAATCGAACGCTATGTATCGTAATATGGTACTATATTATGGTATACCATTTCCCATATAAATTTACATATAAAATGAGAGCGATCTTCATTTTTTCATAGTCATCGCTAAAGCCGTTTTTTTCCCGATTATACGGTATAAAGTATGAACACAATTGAACGTCCGGAAATGGTATCATAATAGTAGAACAATAGGTACTTATATTGTCGCCGAATTACAATCAAAATTCAGGATTCAATTACAATCAAACGTCAGGAACTGATTGTAATTCAGCTCGTAAGATTTAACTCCAACTAACAGGGCAAGTTAAATACTTAAACCTGACTTAAACGTTTGAAAAAAGAGCACTGATCTTGAATGAAGATGATGATTTGAACAATAATAATACACAGATATATCTAAAACCGATATAATGAAGAGCATACATACAGGCACAGAATATCTAACTACGCAACAGAAAGATACTCGAAAGGAAAGAGCTAAAATCTTGTCAGACACACTTATGTTAATTATTCGTTTGGCTTTTAAAATAGTTTTAAGTATATTATTACAAAACATATACTCAAAAAATACATTTTTAATATACACTACCTTATATTGTTAACTAAGAAAATACATTTAATTACCTTTAAAAATATACAGGGCGATTGATAGTGATATTTATTAATGCTGGAACGTTAGTAATGAAATATAAGTTAAATAATAATGGAAATAATTTATTAAAATGCAGTAGCACACAACAAATCTTTATAAAGAAACGCAAGTATAACAAATTTGGGCCCAATCGAAACCCAGAAAATGATATCATAATACTGTACTCCACTCGATATGCTTCAAGGTACCATAATATTGCAGTGTCACCGAAGATCCGTAGTATACCAAGTTTAAGCCCAATCGATCGCCAGGAAATGGTAACGTAATATGGTACTTCATTATGGTACCTCTTGATATGCTTCATGGTACCATAATATTGCAATGTCATCAAACATACGCAAGTATATATCAAATACGAGCCCAATTGAAGAAGAATAGAAAGAAACAGGAAGTGGTATCATAATGTAGTACTATAGAAGATACCACTTTATATGCTCCATGGTACCATAATATTACAATGTCACCGAAGATACGTAGAATACCAAGTTTAAGCCCAATCGAACGCCATGTACGTAATATGGATAGTACCATATGCTATATTATGGTACCACTTGATATGGTTTACGGTATCATAATATATTACAATATCATCAAAAATACGAAATTATATGTCAAATATGAGCTCAATCGAACGTCAGGAAGTGATATCATAATATGGTACGATAGAAGGTACCACTTTACATGCATCATAGTAACATCATATTACAATTACAATGTTACCGAATATACGTAGTATACCAAGTTTAAGCCCAATCGAGCGCCATGTATGTAGTATGGTACTATATTATGATACCACTTGATATGCTTCATGGTACCATAATATTGAAATATCATCAAAAATACGCAAGTATTTTTGATATCAAATATGGGCCCAATCGAACATCAAGGAGTGGTAACATAATATGGTACTATAGAAGGTACCACTTTATATGCTCCATGGTACCACAAAATTACAATGTCACCGAAGATGCGTAGTATGCCAAGTTTAAGCACTATATCGACCGCCATATATCTAATATGGTACTATATTATGGTATGGTACCACTTGATATGCTTCATGGCTTCATGGTACCATAATGTTGCAATGTCATAAAAAATAAGCAAGTATATATCAAATACGAGCCCAATCGAACGTCAGGAAGTGGTATCATAATGTAGTACTATAGAAGGTATCACTTTATATTCTCCATGGTACCATAATATTACAATGTCACTAAAGATAAGTAGAATACCAAGTTTAAGCTCAATCGAACGCCATGTATCGTAATATGGTACTATATTATGGTATACTATTTCCTATATAAAATGACAGCGATCTTCATTTCATAGCCATCGCTAGCGCCGTTTTCCCCGATCATACGGTATAAAGTATGAACACAATTGAACGTCAGGAAGTGGTATCATAATAGTAGAACAATACTTATTATATTGTCGCCGAATTACAATCAAAATTCAGGATTCAATTACAATCAAACGTCAGGAACTGATTGTAATTCAGCTCGTAAGATTTAACCCCAACTAACATGGCAAGTTAAATACTTAAACCTGACTTAAACGTTTGAAAAAAGAGCACTGATCTATTTTAATATGTTTAAATGATGTAGCAAATTTGAAGGTAGGCTTTATCAGGAAGTATTGCAATATGAATTACACAATGGCAACACTGCACAAAATTATTTTAAATTTCGTTTGTAGAAAACTATTTTCTTTTAAAAACTTATCGCCCTCTATTATGTAGTAGCGAAACTACCGCATCAAAATATCTGATTTGGAGACAGGCTTTAAAAGCCTGTCTTCTTTTGATACCTACAATTTTATACATGTAACGAGGCTTCTGTTGCGTAGCTAGATATTCTGTGATACAGGGTGTCCCAATATTCCGTGGACATAGAACTATATACTATGTATTTTTGGAATCAAAATAAGTTCATTGGACACAATTTACCTCTATATAAAAGTGCTTCGTGTGTCCGTTCGTGAGACGGCATCAAACTTTAAAAAAATTAACACATAGATATTTTAAGAACCATTGATCCGATTTGAATGAGGTTTTAGGTGTCTATGTTTTGCAAGTGTTTTACAATCTGACTCACAAAAATCGAGAAAAATTACGGGAAGGGTGAAAACTACCCTCACCCCTACATAAATTTTAGTATAAACATTTTCCAACTCCACCGATGATCGATTTGTGAGTTAATTGAATTATTTCTTTCTGTATTATTTGTTAATGCGTAGGTTTTAGATTACCATCATAGACTTAAATAATTAAGTCTGTGATTACTATCGTTGTTTTGTAGAATATTATATAATATAAAATGTATGGAATAATATTTCAGGTTGTCGATCCAAACACTTTGGATTATGAATCTGAATATGACTCGGAAAATGAGCGAAACAGTGATCCAGAAACTAATGAGCTTGATGGCAAAAACGTTTCAATGTGTAAATTTTGCGACCACGCCTTTACCGATAAAGTAAGTTATAATTAATTTAGAGCTATAATTTTGTAATAGTTTTTAAAAAGCTATGTCATATAATTATTTTGTTTTAATTATTTTAGCTCCAGTGTATTATTATATATTGTTTTATTTTCATTTTGTTCCTTGTAAAATATAATTTCTCTTTTATTGCATTACACATTGCGTTTTTTATGTTTTTTTTTTCATATTTTTTTGGTTCCTCTCTGTGGGAGTATATAATACAAGCGTCTAGGTACACCTCAACCAAGGTTATTAAATTAAACAGTTTGCCTCGTAACTTGACATTAGCCGCCATATTGCGCGTGATCGTATGGTACTAAGCAGTTTTCAGCTTGTTTACAAATAATCTTATATTGTTTATCGCGTATTAAGTGCATTATAAGACAGTTTTAGTGGACACACTATATTTTTTAGTTTTAGTATACTTAACGTATTAAATTGGTGAACCAGATAAGAATATTATTATTATTATTTAAATAATTTATCAATTTTTTCTTCGAAATAGAAACCTATAACAGCCTATAATGTTCATTATTATTTTTGCTTAGTGATGTGTATGTATAATAAATTATTTCGACTAGTTTTCGATATTTTAACATAAAGTTAAGTAGTAAAAATTAAAACGATTTTCTTTTCGAATACAAGTATTGCCTAAAAAAGTTAAATGTCAGCAAAATTAGAGAGAAATAAATAAAGATTTTATAAAAGAACAATTTAACTTATTTAATTGTTATTATTATTGAACCTTTTGTTTATAGTTATTTTAAATATCTCACTAGCTGACGTCATCGCGCCAAATACTGTGATTGGTCCAAAGTTACGAGGCAACCTGTTTAATATAATAACCTTGTACCGAAACAATATATTCCGGAAAACTACGGGAGAATACGCTTACTCGGTTTTGGGTCGGGTATTTCGCGTGCAATTTAAACAAAAAAGAAATAACCCCAGGGATTGAGTCTTGATTGATATTACAGCTGTAAAAAAAAATCTATATTTGTTGAACTCGACCGCATTACCAGTGGTGCCACAGCTGCTTTTGTAACCAAGTTATAGCTAGGCTTTACTTAGTTCCTCCCAAATACGTTTAAATTAAAACGTATTAATTATTTAAACGTATTTGGTTCCTCCGCAAAAGCATTAAAGTAAGGTTATGGCTAATGCCATTCGCACGTATTGCGCAAGCGCGAGTCTTTCCGGAATTTATTGTTGGGGTGTATCTAGACGCTTCTGTATATAATAATGTTTATCAAATTTATTTTATTATTTTAAATACATTTGTGATGGTATCTGTATATTATTGTGTAATATTTGTATACAAATATAAATATAATATATATTGTATACAAATATTATTGTGTAATATTTGTAGTTTATACAGATACCTGTTTGGAAGAATATTGCACCTTTATTATTTTCTTAGGCTGAATGTAATGAACACGAAGCTACGGCACACAATTCGGACCAACCATATAAATGTGCAAGTTGTTGCATGGATTTTGCCGATCGACTGTTATATTCAGCTCACATGAAAAGCGTTCACAAAAATGATAAACCTTACAATTGTCCTCAGTGCGACAGAACATTTGCTAGAAGATCAGATTTAAGGAAACACACCATCGTACATACAGGTAAAAGAAGTGATGATTATATCTTAAAATCATTTTCCCTTGTCATTTTTATTTAAGTAAAAAATAGCTTAATTTTTATTTCTGTTAATGTATTCTACATGAATCTATTTAATTCCAGTTTTGTCTGTTACTAAAACATAATATGTCAATTTAAACTAAAATAAGAATATTACAATTCGCAATCAATACGATATTATACTGGATGAAAACCAAATCGTTCCACAAACTGCCATTTTACTATTTATTATATTATGCATTTGAAACTTGGTTATATGTCCAATCATTAAAAAATATTTAAGAATCACTTCCGGTTTAACAGGGAGAGGGCACAAGCAATTTAAGTCGCACTCTGTTTTTTATACATTTACGCTTCGTACTACGAGGGCGATACATCCGACGCGACGTTATCAAAAAACACGTTTTCTTATGAAACTTATGAATTAGCTCTGTTATCTATGCTTATGAAAGTGTCCTGCATTACCGACGCAGGACGATTTCATAAAAAAAACGTATGAAAAAACACATATGTCGGTCGAATCGCCCGCGTCGCGCGTTTTCATCGCCCACGTAGGATGAAGCATTAAACTTGTCGCCCATTTGTCGGAACCGAAACGAACCGAAGAGAAACGAAATTTCCGGTCGGTTGCCTCTTGCGCGCTGTCGTAAAGGTTGACATCATAAAGTTGACATTAGTGGCAAACCTAGATCATATATACTTACGTGGATAAGTATGAAAACTGTCGCAAACATATCAACGACTTCCATTTATCTTCTTTTTTTGTTGCGCACGCGGTGCTTCTACTCTATCTATCCTTGTCGAGGACCTATCGTCTGCGCGCCAAATTTGAACATTAATTTTAAACATTTAATTTGTAAAATGCTTATATTTGAACAATAAATTGAATGTTTACTGTTACAAAAATTGAATTATATAAAAAATACATTTAGCCACTCAATATTCTTAGAAAATCTAATCAAAATATATGCATGTGGTTTAATATAAATAAAAGAACAACTGAATACTTTACTTACCTATGAAAAGAAAATTGGGGGACCTTTATATTAGAACTTTCATACACTAAACACTTTCTAGTCATTTTTACGAGTATTTAGAAAGTTCAACGAAAAAAAAAATAGAAATATAGTTGCACAAACTTTAAATTAACTTCTTACTGAACACACTTGCATCCTTGGCTATATAAAAGCGGTCGATAAAAGAGTAATTAATACAATTTTTAAAATAAAAAACGCAAAAAACAAGCGTCGTTACACAATGGAAATATGATTCTGACGTATGTTGACCATATGATCAAAGAATATACCTAGCTAGAAAAAGAATGGACTCTGCCATACTGAAAAATGGTCCTACAGAAGTGGCGCCATCTATTGAGTAGGGCTTGTTTTAAATGGATCGAAGCGCGGGCTTTTTAAATGAGCGTATTTATTGAATTTTACTCTAAAATAATTAAATTTGATTGTTAAATCTTAATTTTTACACAAATTCAACAATACTAATAACAAGTATCGTTGTGATGTGTAAAAAATAAGATTTAACAGTATAATTTATACAATTATTAAATAAAATTAAAGCCAAACATGTGTAAATATTATTTATTATTTAAAGTTTTTATTAAGTCAAATATTTAAACATCGTTTATTATAATAAAACAAGACCAACATAATACGCCCAAAGTTTTGTAAATGGAGTAAATATAAATAGGTACTTAAATGATGGCAAAAATAAAAGACTTACATTATATTTTTAGGGCCACAAACAAAAGGAATTGTCTAATTAAAACACATATAACAAATTATAGTTTGAAAAACGTTTTGATAATCATTTGATAGTATTATGATTGGTGCTATGACAACGACAATATTTTTTGAGAATTTGACAATAGTATGACAATGGCCGTTGGAAACTATGGAAACTACAACAAAATTCTGATTTAACGCCATCTGGCAATAACTAGTAGCAACTTCTTAACCTAAAAATTAATTGCACTACCACCTAGCGCCTGAGGCTGGAACTATTTTATTTGAAATTTCCGTGGAAACGGTGGAACCGCTTTTGCTATTTCACTTTCCCGCCCCTGCATATGATGACAATGAAAAGTTGGTTTCCATAACAATGTATAAATTTGTACTTTCTAAACCGTTTAAAATTGTGATTATTTTGGAAATACTTGCAACTTTTAATGCGCATGCGCAAAGTAAGGTCCTCGAGAAAGGCACACCTATTGAGCATTTCATAAGTGCAATAAAGAAGGTTTGAAAATGGCATGTCGTGATGTTGGAGACATATTTGTTAATGCTAAATAATTTATGGCGTTGATTTATCAACGTAAGTATATATGTATGATCTAGGGTGGAAAATCTCTTTTAAAATGTCTAGGGGTGGCACTAGTAGTCTCGATTTTATTTTTGTTAGCAAAGTTGTGTTTTTATGTGGTTAAACAGCAGTTTTGCAATATTGTGGTTATTCTGTCATCGAAAATATGAACAGACGTCATTTAATGGCAGAGGAAGAAAATCAAGCCATTGGGTTGCTTTTTGGAGGTGCGTGACATATCGATGTGGCTGCTATAATGTCTCGCAAAGTGTAATTTCTCGACTTAATAAACGATTTAATGGGATTGGATCTGTCATGGAATAAGGAGGGTTGCCCAAGATCGACAAATTCTAGAGAGGACCGAGGCTTGCTGAGATGAGCTAGAATTGATCCTACAAGAAACAGCATGTTGCTCAGCCAGGATCCTTTTGTTGTCAGCAGAATTTGTGTTACACCACGAACGGTTCCATACCTATTAAATGAAGCAGGTTTACATTACTATAGCCCTATATAAGATGCCCTCGGTTCACCATAGGTCATAAAGCTCATTGTTTGCTCTGGTGTAATGAAAGAGCGAACTGGATTGACGAGTGGCGTACTGTGATATTCAGTGAGTTGCATAAAATTAATAATTTGCCATTACCCCCGCTCTCTCTAGATTTAAACTGCATCAACCATGTTTGGGACATGATCAGAAGAAACAATTATCGACGAACCTCCTGTTCAGGACCTAAGGTCACTGAGGCGAGTTTTTCTTTATGGGACTTCATTTATGGGATACCTTCGACGAAATTGACTTTAATCATTATTTATTTAATTTTCATTTAATTTTAAGTATGCCTCGCCGACTTGTAGCAGTAATAGCCAGTAGAGATGGAATTGCTCGCTATTAATATACTTTTTTCTTTTTGATAATTATTGTTCGTTACATTAAACAAACTTCTTTTTTTTTCTTTTTGATAATTATTGTTTCGTTACATTATTAGAGAACACCTATAAATTGTAATTAAATTTTTTTTCAGAAAAAAAAACAATGTATTTTGTTTTAGAAAGAGATTTTGAAGTAATTTACGTTAAAAGTAAAATTAAATAAATAAATGCGTTAAAGTAAATACGTTATACAATTTTTTTCGAGAGTTATTTTTTTCTCAGAGAATTCACAATATCCTTAAGTTTATTTACGGAAATTGCACCGATTATTACGGAAATTGCAAATTTTGAACCAACTATAAAATCTAACAACGAACAAGAAAATGGCAGTGTGTGTAACGATTTCGTTGTCACCGGTATACAGGGTGTCAAAAAAATAGTGTATCTAAAGCGGTCCATACATCAAACCAAACCAAACCAAAACAAATTGCGCAACGTTGCGTTGCACAACTGCATCAGCGGCTCATACATTATCAAACAAATTGCGCAACAAAGCGATGCGCAACGTCGCGTTACACAACTGCATCACCCATACACTTGGTCAAATTTTTATCAAACTTTTTATTGAAAGTTGTGCATTGTTCGAGAAACAACCATGAACTCAATTGTCATTGGCTCAATTATTATGGTATGTGCCCTAGATGTTGATGTTACCAAAAAACGAAAAAGAAAACAACGAATTTGGATGAAAAAACTAAAAGAACTAAAATATTGCACAATGAACACACATACACTACACAACGCATTACGCAAACAGTTGCACAAAAGAATTCAAACATTCTTGAAACTTATCAAACAACTGCGCAACGCATCAAACAGGGCCATACATTGGCAACTTGTTGCGCAATTTGTTTGATAATGTATGGCCTGCTTAACTTTGGTGCGATTTAACGATTCTACAGATAAAAGTAAAATAAAAAGTTCCTATGAACATATGCCCTAAAATGCTTCCAGGAGAAGTTACAGCCTTCGAAAGGTTAAATAAAAATAATATATTTTATTTATTTTTAAGAACATTGTTAAACCGTTTTTCCTGAAATTTTGTACTCTTACACACATTTTAATGCCAAAGCAAATGGCAATTGTGAAAAATTCCGTAACAGCCCTGAAAGGGTACTTTCCATTAGGGTAGAAAATACTACTGGTGGTACTTCTTTTATCCTTATAGATACAGTAATTTGAACAAATGATATAAAAAGCTAGGACTTTTTTACGTAAAACAGGTACTCTTCGTTTAGTTCGAAAGGTGAACGGTTCTCAAGATATTTGCGTTTAAAGATTACGATGCATCGATTTTAGTATTAGTGATGTGATAAAATGTAAAGAAATTTTAAATAAATAATTAATCTCCTGATTTCGCTAATGCTAAAATCGATGCATCGGAACCTTGAAACCCATATATCTTAAAAACCGTTCACTGTTTCGAACTAAACGAAGAGAACTTTTTATATAAAAAAGTTCTAGCTTTAATTTTCATTTATTGAAATTACTGTATCTATAAGGATAAAAGAAGTACCACCATTAGTATTGTATTGATTAAAGGTAAGTACCCACGATGAAAATTTGTATGTCATGAGTAAAAAAAATTTCTCTGGTCTCACAATGGAAACACACTTGAGATGTATGAAATATTATCAAAAATCTTATGACACAATATTTCATGAGATATTTGTTTCATGAACAAGTTTCAACGTGTACACGTGATATGCGTCGTTTTTCATTTGAAATATTTGTGTCACTTACTGCACATGAGTTTTATCCTATATAGCACGTTCACTTTACGTCGTGTCTCATGAACAAAAAAATTCAAACAATCGCGAGTGAAGAAATTTTTACCTCTACGTGAAAACCCACCACGAAACAAATGTTTCATGAAATAAAAATTTAATGACATTTTAACTTCATTGTGGACAGCTACCTTAAGAGTGGGTCCTAGGTGGGACCCTCCACTATAGGTACTAACAATTCTAGTAGTACTCTCAACCCTAATGGAAAGTACCCTTTCAGGGCTGTTACGGAATTTTACACTATCGCCATTCGCTTTGGTATTAAAATATGTGTGAGAGTACCAACTTTTAAGAAAAACGGTTGTTCTTAAAAATAAACAAAATGTTTTATTTTTACAGTACGTCTGTTGGATGTGTGTCTATGAAAGGAATGTGGACAAAAAACATTTAAATAAACAACAATATATTTTATACGTCGAATTGACGAGTACGTCACCGCAAATCGCTCCGCCCACTCATTTTATTGGCTACTTGTAAATTTGTCGAATTTTTATTGATGAGACGCGTCGTCTAATTTTTTACGAAAAACATAGAGAGAATATCGTTTCCCCTCTCACGGATACCCCGTAGCTATAGAACGGACAGACGTACTGTATTTAACCTTTCGAGGGCTGTAATTTCTTCGGGAAGCATTTTGGGGCATATGTTCATAGGAACTTTTTGTTTTATTTTTACCAGATCACCCACTGAAGTTAGATACACTATTTTTTGACACACTGTATACATATAATTATTTTTATAATATTGCAGGAGTGAAACCCTATACCTGTACAGTCTGCTTTAAATCCTTTTCGAGAAATACAAATCTTTCTAAACACATGAGAATACATTCCGGGACGAAACCATTTGTCTGTCAAAAATGTCCGAGAACGTTTACATCCAGAGGTGACTTGAACAGACACGCCATGATTCATACTGGTCAAAAACCGTTTAGGTACTATGTGCATCTTTTAATTATTAGGATATATAATTAACATTTGGTTTCTAGGTGTAACTATTGTCATCTGACTTTTGGTAGGAAAGACAAATTACTACGGCATGAAAAACGGCATTGGCCTCAACAGAACGCGGAAGACAAATCACACGAACTTCAACGGCTGCGGGAGAATTTAGATCTTGGAGAATATAATTATGGCCATATAAATAACGACGGTTTTGAAAGAACTGAACCGGAAAGTGACAAACAGGAAGAAAATATGGTATGCGTACTAATTTATTTAGTGGAGATTTTTTTGCGAATTTCAAAAAAAAATGTACTTAGTAATCAATAATCCTTATCTGTCTAATGATATGATAATAATAATTTATAAACACTATCTTCACGTGGATAATTTTGGATATTTATCAATAGTACAGTCAATCTGGCACTGGTCAAGTGGTCCACTGGAAAAGCTTAAATTCAAAAATTTGTACCCACCGTTTTTGAGAAACGGAAAAAAAATTGGATTCGATTTTCTGGCTGAACCGTAGGTCCCACGGAAAATTTTATGGAACAAAAAATGAAGAAAATTGAATTCTCTACATTTTCATCTCTAAGTAACAAATATCTTAAACCTACAGGGGCAAAGTTAAAGGGCGCTACTAAAACGCAGTTTTTTGCATTTTCCTGGGTAAAACCACTTTTTTACTGTCGCAAAGATTTTAAAATTAAAGATCGTAAAAAACCTACTAAATCGATATGTATTTTTTTACGTTTTATTGTTTACGAGATATAACGTTGCCAATGTCGCGGCGCTAGTTTCGAGGACACAGCTGCCGCTCGGCCTATTGTCGTGTCCATCCCTCCAGCACTAACTAGTCGATCAGACTATCAATCGACGTCATTTGACAATGTAGATGCGAGGGTTTTGACGTAGTAAGCAATTTTTTCGTGTGCGGAGTAAAAAGTTTGTCGCTGTAGGTTTTACAGCTTTGCTACTGAAAAATGAAGTTGTAGAGAATTGAATTATTCTCTCCATTTTTTGTTCTATAAAATTTTCTGTTTAGCCAGAAATTAGAATCCAAGATTTTTTTTCAGTTTCTCAAAAAACGCTACCTACAGCGCACCTAACAAAATCTAAAAAAAGGAAAGAGAATATTAATATATATATATATATATATATATATATATATATATATATATATATATATATATATATATATATATATATATATATATATATATATATATATATATATATCCTCACTTTGAGTGAACATCGTAATCCGCGAAGGTAACTTTGCGGTTACCTTCGCGGATTACGGCGAAAGTAACTTTGCAGTTATTTCGACCGTCATTGATTTCATGAAAGTTGAATACACATTGTGAGAATGAATGCAATATATCTCATAAACAGTAAAACGGTAAATTTTACACGTCAGTTTGATAGGTTTTTATATGCTCTTTACTTTTAAAAACTTTGCGACAGTAAAAAAAAGGTTTCACTTAAAAAAATTAATAAAACTGCGTTTGAGTGACGCGCCCTCTAACTTTGTCCCTGTAGGTTTTAGAGGTTTGTTACTTAGAGATGAAAATGTAGAGAATTTAATTCTCTTCATTTTTTGTTCAATAATTTTTTATAGGGATACGAATTTTCGAATTTAAGCTTTTCCAACGGACCACTTACGATTGGCAAAGTATGAAAGCGGGGGTAATTTGATGGGAGTCTAGACCTTTTTTAATGCCAGATTGGCTGTACTACAACTAAAAAGTCATAAAATAATAAATAAAAAGTAAAAAAAAGGAATGCAGTCCGCTTCTAGTACAAAAATTACCCAGATAAGAAAGGTCCGTTATTTACTGTAAAGGTTAAAGAAATTATACCTCGTCCAGAAAACGGCCATTTATTGAAATTACTTCTCCCAAGAAGAAAAAAAACAAGTTGCCAGACAGAGTCAGTCAATATACTTTAATACTTTATGGGATATTAAAATATATTAAGATAACAAGACATGCAATATACGAATTTTTAATCCATCTCTTATCTGACTGGTCGGGCAATATTTTCTATATTTTTAATGTGTTTTTTACCACTTTAGATTTTATATTATATATTTTTATTTTCTTTCTATTAAGAATTTATTACTATTAACAACGAGAGAATATACAGGGCGGTTTACGGCCATGGTACGTTAGACGTTTATCGGGAACTTGTGATAGGATTTTTTTTTTAATTTCTCGATTTTTGCATTAAGGCACCTATCTTTCACCTATCAGTCTATCTTTCTAAATTATTTTTAGTGTTACAGTTGTGCCTCTTCATACTAAAAGTGGTAATATCTTTGTTATTTTAAATGGAACATCTGGCATATTATTACATTTTTTCGAAACTACTTTCAGTTGGTCATTTTTCTATGACCTCATCATTTTTCTATTACACTAACCTATAACTATTGCTGACAGTTTTCGAGATCAAAAATAAAACATGTGTAAAATTGGCAAAAACATGATCTTGAATAAGTGTTGGTTAAATCATAAGCGGCATATCGAAAGCTGAAATTTAGTTTATAGGTTAAGGAAAGTCGACATATTCGGTCTGTCTAAATCATACAATTAAATTGTTGTTTCTTCGGTTGTACTGGACACGTCGCGTCGCAATTATTCCATTAGAGCAGGGTTTCTTAAAGTGTGGTCCATAGCTTCTTAGGGGTCCATCGCATGTGTATCAGGGGCCCGCGGTCCGCATTACGCCAGTTAACTGTAAACATATTTATTAAGAAAAGAAATAGTGTAGGGCGGCGAATTCAGTAGGTATTTAATCACTAAACACTACGCGATGCGCGTAAGGATCAAAAATACAAAGTTGAAGCTGTTCCCTTATCAAACCATGATATTAATTCTAGAATAAATGTTGATAATAATGTCGTCAAATGTTTTACAAGTTGTTGAAGAATTAATTGCTTCACCGTTTCCATTCAGCATTCAATTGGATGAAAGCACCGATGTGCCACAATGTAGCCAACTCTTGATATTTGTCCGTTACCTACAACAAGACACACGTAGTATTAAAGAAGAGTTTTTTTTTGCAATTCGCTTTTGGAGACTACAAAGGCTTCAGGGGTTTTTGAAATGACGAAAAGGTTTTTCAACGAACAAAATATATGCTTGCTTCATCCACGTTACCGTAGATGGTGCTAAGATGGCTTAGGTAGGGTATATATAATAAATAAACAAAAATACGAGTAGCAAAAATAGGGGCCAAAAAAACCCTACATATATGCTTATTCTCTGCATTAAGTTCATCAGACTGAAGGGAACAGCCATTCGGCGACCGGTTTCAATACGGAGCGGAACAAAATATAGACTTGGTAACACTACCAAGTTTAGTCTGCACCGATGGAGCTCCCGCAGTGCATGGTAACGTCTGGTTTCGCGACTTTGGTCAAGAAAGAGATCCCTCATGTCATAATAACTCATTGTGTCTTATATCGACATGCCATGGTTTCACGGACTTTACCTACATTTCTGGAGGAAGTTATGTCTACATGTGTCAAAATAATTAACTTCATCAGAGCAAGAGCCTTAAACCACCGCGGCACCGCCTGTTTAAAAGACTTTGTCAAGAAATGGGGTCAGAATATGAAGTACTGCTTTACTACACAGAAGTTCGTTGGCTCTCAAGGGGACAGGTCTTAAAGCGATTGTTTGAGTTGGGAACAGAAGTGTTACTTTTTATAAAAGATAAAAGGAAATTCACTGTCTGAATATCTTTAGAGCGAAGATTTTGAACGGGGGCTAGCGTATTTGGCAGATATATTTACTCAATTGAATGAGATTAACTTGTCTCTTCAGGACTCTGCGATAACCATCGTAGATGCATTTCAACGGTTGAAAGGTTTCATATATAAACTGCCACATTGGAAATGGATGGTGGAATCTGGTAACTTTGCAAATTTACCGATGTTTGAAGAGTACAAGGCGACGGCAATACGATATCAAAAATGCTACAGAAAGAGGTGTCTAAGCATTTGGATACATTGATAACTTCTTTTGAACGCTACTTTAACTTCGACATTCGCATAATATCAGCGATGAAGATCTCACTAAAGATGACTTAATCGGTATGAGATCAAAAGAAATTTTGAAAGCTGAATTTCATGCAAAAGATCTTGGCGAGTTTTGTTGTTCTTTAAGTCAAACTTACCCTCTTCTTGTCAAGCGAGCTATGTCCGTTCTGATACCATTTGCTACTACGTACCTTTCCTCTAGGGAGGGTTCTCGGTTGTCCGTTCTGATACCATTTGCTACTACGTACCTTTCCTCTAGGGAGGGTTCTCGGTTCTGATCTCAATAAAAACAAAAAGTCGCAACCGATTGAATGTCGCAGATGATATGCGCCTTGCCTTGCCGAAGATAACCCCACAATTTAACGTTCTCATTGAGGCTAAACAGCAGCATCCTTGTCACTAATTTACTAGTGTGCGTGTAATAAATCTACTAAACGTTCTCTTTTTATGTAAATAAGGCTTTTTTTATTTTCCTCTATTATTTCTGATAGGGGTCCGTGGAATTGTACAAATTGCGAAAGCGGTCCGTGACTGCAAAAAGTTTAAAATACCCTGCATTAGAGGATCGAAGAACTGTTAATGCTGAATGGTATACAACAATTTGTTTGCCAAAGATCTTCGATGAAGTAAGGTGAAAAATATATATGAACAGAAAACGTCATATCATTCTTCATCACGACAATGCCAGCTCCCGTAAAGCATGTCAAACAACTGAATATTTGAAGGAGAAAAACATCTAATTAATGTTTCCCTTACCCTTATTCACCCGATTCATCGCCTAATGACTTTGGACAGCGATTTTCATCACCTCAAGAAGCTGTTTGAGTTTTTCAAAACAATGTTTCTACGATATCAACTTCAGAGTGGAAAAAATGTTTCCAAAATTGGTTTGAGCGCATGCAAAAATGTATAGACCTTAGTGCTAATATTTCTAAATGCAATAAAACACTTTGTTTCGAACTTGTTTGTTTCTGTCACTTTTTGTAAAAATTTAAAAGGCAACCTACGTATCAGAAAAAACTTTCCTCGGAACTTACGACCGAGAAAAATCAAAGATTTTCCTTCATTTAAGTAAAAACAATCTTCGGATTGTCACGAGGTTTCTAACAGGAAACCGTCTCCTCAACGAAAATCTAAGTAGGTTGAAACTGAGGAACAACGGCGAATGCAGATTCTGAGGGAAAAATACAAAACACCTTATCACTGAGTGCGCCGAGACGACGCGCGACGACCGTTCGTGCCATGAACTTTGATGGCTGATGTCGAGGATGGAGAGCTGGCCTCTGTGGAGCCGTACTCAGGTACTATTTTGTGCGAGAAAACCTAAAAACAAAGATTTTAAGACAAAATAATTATAGCGGAGGTCGACATTGTTGATGGTTGTTTTCATTTGTTTCAACAGATTTACAGCTTTTAAAAAGTTTAAACAATTAGCAATTGACTGTTTATCTTTTAAGTTTTCTCCGTATGGTCTCACAAGATTAAACAAGTGTCTTTGGGGTTCATACCTTGGGCAAACACAAACAATGTGTTCGACTGTCAGTCTAACCTGACAATCCGCACACAGAGGTGCATCTTCTCCAGTAAGTAGGTGTTTGTGCGTCAGTGCGGTATGACCAATGCGAAGTCTGTGAGTCTTGATTAAACTAGTTCGATCTAAGCCAATATGTATATATTTACTATAAGCCAGTGGCTTTATACTATATATAAATTCTTGTTTAGATTTTGCCACCTATGTTGCCATTCGTTCAGAATAACAGATTTTAGATAAATTTGATAATCGGAATGTTTAACCATCAACTACATCTTCTGAACTGGCTTCCTGTGCAGCATTATCCACTTTTTCGTTACCAGCTATTCCCACATGGCTTGGAACCCACAATAATGTGAGTTTATAACCTCTCCTTGTTAGATCATCAATCAATATTTGGATATTTTGAGTCATAGGGTCTTTAGTAAATATATCTAAGAGACTTTCTAAAACACTCTTTGAGTCACAAACAATTAGACATTTAGAGGGGCCATTCGAGGAGGTAAGGAAAAGAAGAGCCTGCCAAAGTGCATATTGCTCTGCATAATAAATTTTGGAGATATTACTTAAGGTCCAAGAAAAAACCTTGCCCTCGGTAGCGAAAGCGCATCCGATGCCATCATTGGTTTTGGATCCATCAGTGTAGATGACGAAATTTACATTCTCTCGATTCTTTATATCGAGGAAGCTCTGCTGCCAGTGTTTATTTGAGATTTCACCTTTTTTAAATTGCGCCAGTTCGAAATTTACTACAGGCGGAGAACACTTCCAAGGAGGAATTTCACTTTACTCAAGGCGTAATAATTGAGGTGGGTCTACTTCCCTAATTCTCAGATACTCCCTATACCTTCCAAAAGCTGATCTACTGAAGGGGGGATGGTTTTCAGCCTCTCTCATACATATGTTATTAAAAGGATGTTGCTCCAGGGCTAATATTTTTGTTATGTAATTTGACAACCGTATTTTTCTTCGATCTTCTAAAGAGGGCATGTTTGCTTCACAATACAAACCTTCAACGGGGCTTGTTGGGAATGCACCCAAACAGTACCTCAAGGCCGCATTGTGAATACTGTTTAGTATGTTTAAGCTAGATTTGCAGGCTGATCCATAGACAGCACAGCCGTAATCAATTCGTGACAAAATTAGTGACTGGTATAAAGTGAGAAGCATTTTTGGTTCTGCACCCCATTTTGTGTGAGACAGAACTTTAAGAATATCTAGGGATTTCATGCATTTTTGTGTAAGTGATAATATGTGCTGTTTCCATGTATGCGTAGAGTCAAATATTATGCCAAGAAATTTTATTGTTCTAGGACATCTAATAGGTGTTTCTTCTAAATACAGTAGTGGGTCATAATGAGGTCTTCTAAGTCTACAGAAATGCATACAGTTTGTTTTCTCCTCGGAGAAAGTAAAACCAACTGATCTGGCTTGTTTGCAAATTTGATTTATTGATGGCTGCATCTTACGTACGATATCACCAATTGTTTTACCTGAGAAGACAATCGCTAAGTCATCAACGTATAGAAACTTAGTTACATCACTATGTAAGTTGTCGGCTATTTCATTAATAGCCAATCCGAACAATGTGCAACTCAGTGTAGACCCCTGTGGTACTCCGTTCTCCAAGTCCTTTTGGTAGATAAAAAATGACCGAGACGAACATAAAAAGAGCGATTTGTTAAAAAGGAAGAGACAAATTCGGGTAAGTTTCCTCTCAGGCCATATTTGTGCAAATTTTTTAAAACACCATATCTCCATGTCATATCATATGCCCCTTTAAGATCAAAGAAGACAGCGACCATGTGGTCTTTTTCTTCGAAGGTTTTCTGTATGTGATGATCTAGCATTACAAGATGGTCAATTGTTGACCTGTTTTTACGAAAGCCTGACTGATAAGGTTTCAGAATATTATTACGTTGATCAATGCTTATTCAAGATCATGTTTTTTTCAATTTTACATATATTTTATTTGTTATCTCGAAAACTATAAGAGATGGTATAGGTAAGAATAACAGAAAAATTATGAGATGTGAAAGTAGTTTCCTAAAATGTAATAATATACTGGGTGTTCCATTTAAAATAATAAAGATGTTGCTACTTTTCAAATGATCCGACAACACTGTAACGCTGAAAATATTTTAAATAGAGGTGTCTTTATGTAAAAATCCAGATTTTCAAAAAGATCTATTACCGGTTCTCCATAAACGACTAACGTACCATCATTAAGTTAGCATTAAATGGCGCAGGATAAAAAAAACGGCGTCATAAAATTACCATTGATAATATTTTCTATTTAATTTTACATATAAAATGACAGCGATCTCCATTTTTAAACCAACTTTGATACCATTTTTTTCAATATTCACCGTTTTAGAACTCTATTCACCGTTTTACAGCCTATGCGCAGATGAAAAAGTTGCCGCATATTTTCTTTTGCGCATGCGTATCACAGTTTTAGGATAGTTCTGAATCCGTAATGATTATTAACGGCATTTTAGTAAGCTACCGTTTAACGGCAGTAAGTACAGCCTAAATTTAATATTAAATGAGTTGAGATTTTTTGTTTGTTGAGATTTTTTTGTGCATTTAATAATAATAATACCATAGTCTGCTCAGCAATATAATTGTATAACATTAGGGCTGCGTTCAGGTATTGAGTATTTGTTTGATCTTGTTCCACTATATTAAAGTTATATTAGGATGTCTCTCGATCTCTATAAGAACAACTTTTATTTTAGAACGATGAAGGACGTAAATTTTATGTCCGGAGTGCATCTAGCCTGAATATCTGAACGCAGCCTAGGGTTGTCTGTCGTTTGACATTAAAAATTATATCTGTCGTTCTTGCGACGCGACGTACTCTATTGAATATGACTGTACGATTCATTTTTGTATGATCAAGAGGATTTTGACTTTGGCAGTTAAACATATTCTAATGTAAATTGTTTATCTCTCATCATACAAAGCATAATTTATTATTAGCACATTTATATATAATAATAATAATAGCTCCCGTATATAGCGTTTGACGCCTTGGGAGTAGCAAGGTACAGCTTGCCATACTAGAGCCGTTCGGTATACAAGGAAGGTAATGTGGCTAGCACTACGCTTCAACCGCCTATTATTACCTCAGGATTGTGAATCCCAAGTACTCATTTAAGGCTGAGTCGACCTAGGTACCCAAACTATTTTTATTTTAATAAAAATAGTCTGCTGATGAAATGCCGGGTGTGGGATGCGAACCCAGTACCTTGAGATTGGTAGACGAGAGCCTGTACCTCTAAGCCACCGGGCACCATACATTTATATATAATCATAAAATTAATGATCACCACATTATATAATGTAATTATTAAATTAATTAATTTATTGAATATTTACTTATTGTATATTGCTATAAGTATTCCCAGCAGGGAAAATTCGCAGCCGGATTATTTAACCTCTTTCTTGGCATAACTAACCTTAACCGAAATAATTACATATCCAAAATTTGTACAATCTATTTCCAGTGATTTAACTATCTATTAAAACCATTAAAACCCAATAATTTGCTTTTATAATAAATATTATTGTAGGTTATTAATTTGGATCCATTTAATCATAATGAATTCGGCAGTGAAACTAGTTTACCACGTGGGAGCGTATCCGAAAATGAACCAAAAGAAAACGACTTACCCGGCATTCCAGATCACATTAAAGACGAATTTAAAGTAATAGTACACAAAAGATAGAATTTCTTATTCTTACAATTTTTAATTTTTATTATAGACGGAAGATTCTTTATTCGACACTTCAAGGGACCATGTAACAGGCGAAAGTTTTTCAAGTGAGACGGACGGGCATGAGAAGCCTAACTCGGAGAGTCCAGGACTACCTTACAAATGTACGCATTGCCCTAAAAGATTTTCTACCCCTGACAACCTAAAATATCACATGGCTAGGCATACAGGTACAGTTAATAATTTTATTACTGGAATTTATTTTTCTTCCTGTAATCTTCTGGAAATTATACCCCAGTCAAAATAAACAAAAAAAAGGGGGTTAAATAACAATAAGCATTCGCATAGAACTGAAAATTGGTACAGGTCTTAAATACACTATTATAAATGATATCTGAAAAATTCCCACCCCTCCCACGTCTGCTAAAAAATTATTCACGGTTAAAAGTCAAAAATATGTTTTTTTTTTGTTTTTTTCTCCTAAACGGTAAGCGCTATCGCAAAAGTACCTTAAACAAATGTTGTAGAACATAAAATTTTCTACAATAATGGTTCTTATACTTTTTTCTTACGAACCACCATTCCTGAGATATGGCGATTTCAAAAGTTTAAAAACTCGTAATTTTCATAATATGCACACATTTCTACCTGTGAGGTAGTGTATTCGACGCGTTTTTTTTAACGTGGTTTCCCCTGTAGGCTTAGTCCACGATCTATTGTGATTAAGTTTTATTACACATTATACTATTAATTTTAAAAAACGGTGCTCTTGGTAATGATTATAGTCGAACGGATTATTGTTGATTTTGGGAGAATTTTAATCTTTTGGGAGAGTGGTAATCTTCAAATGATACTTCAACAGTAATGTATGCTCAGACGTATTCAAAAAGATTGACTCTTCTCCACAAGTCATCATCACAAGTGGAATTCGCTTGCTTTTTACTATACAGGGTGAGTTTCCTACGATGTTCTCTATGGGTATATCGGAAACTACTGGAGATAGAGAGTCGGTTAAACGGGGAAAGAATTGCAGTTTTGTAGGGTCATAAATATGCGCCTTTCAGATTTTTGAAAAAGTTCATGGCTTACTAGATATTTAGAAAAAAACAAATTTCGGCTATTTTAAAAATTGTCCCTGATTCCATTATAAGCTATTTTAGACAAAAAGTTTTCAGATAAAAGTTGTAGATAATCACATCCTTAATGAGATTGTGTCCTCCTTTTTTTTCTAAAGCCTGTCATTTTTGACATTTGACACAAACATATGTTTTTTTAAATGGAAACCATAGTTGGCCATGACTTTATAAAAAGTGCCATTTTTTAAGCTTTTCAGCGATATAAGCTATAATATGTTTTCTTCGAAAAATTATCGAGTTATAGCCAATTCTTATCATTTTTAAATAATTTCACTTAATTTTTACCTTTTTTAAATAATTTCACTTTTCATTTAATTCGCGGACGGTCCGCGCGGACGCTCCGGTCCATCTGAAAGTGCTGTTAGTAGCTTCACTTATCTTCAAATACTTTTTGTCTACGGATTTGGCCGAATTGCTGCGTAAAGGAGGACGCGCACTGAATCGACTCGGACTGGTCGACTCGACTTAGAACTATCGTCAGGTTTTGGTATACCGGGTGCGTCTCAAAAGTGTATCACCCCTATAACTTTTATTTTTAAAATTAAAAAACGGGATTTAGTATGTTAGTACATATGTAACATAAATTAGGATTGAATAACGTATTCAATTGTTTTCGGTACTTCCTGTTTCACCGGAAATGACTGCAACTCTTTATTTTTAAAAGGTATTTTTTTACTCTATGCGGTAGAAAATGACACTCTGAATAAAGTGTCTTTTCACATTCTCGCTAAAAACAAAATCATATTTTAAATTTCAATCTAGAGTGCCATGGCTGTGTTAAACACTAATTTTTAATCAAGGAGCCTTGGAAAAATAGATTTGATCGTCTAATCTTTTTCGTGTCTTGTTCTGGACAGTTAAAAGATGTACAAATCGTATTTTTAATCATATCTCAAATCAGTTTTTATCAAAAAAATATATGCTCCCGGGTTAACTGGACTGGATTGGATAAAATCACGTAGAATTTTCTATAACGGATATTTGGGTTGCAGAGATCTATCGTTAATGCTTGTAAACAAATTGACTATGAAGTAGTCAATTTGTTTGAAAAGTAATAGTTTACTTTTTATATACGATTAATACGATAAAAACGATTAACAAAAAACGGTACAAACAGAGCTCCAGCAAGTCAGTTTCAAAAAGATTTATCTTAAGTCATTTCTAAAATCAAAATGATTTAAATCAAGTCAATTTCAATATAAAGTTTAAATTAAGCTTTTGACTTAAATAATTTTCTTTCAAGTCAAGTCATTTCGTAGACTTAAAATGAATATAATGTAATATAAGCCGTTTTTATAACTAAAGTCGAGTTAATAAGTCAAAATGACTTAAATCAAAATAATTACCGTCAAGTCAAGACAGCCAAAATTCTATTTAAGCACTATTTTTAGCCGACCATACCAATAGGTATGGTAGGCTATTAGGATCGGCAAAAAGTTTTTTTTAATTTCACTCAAAATGAGTTACTTGGGTCATAAATATCTGTCCGTCTGTAACACGATAACTCAAAAACCGCTGAACCGATTTTGTTTTGTTTTGATTGGTGGGGGTTGGTAAGGGGGTATGGGAGGGGGTTAAAAATTTAAAAAATCGTAACTCCAAAATTACAGTAGCTAACGAAACGCGGTTTTCAAATTAAGATTAGGAATAATATTTACAACAAAATTTGTAATAACATCAAAATCTGTCAAAGTCGCAGTTTTCGAGATATTAACATATTTTAGTATGGGCGGCTATGCGTGCCTCCCGGTGCCAATTTTTTAATGTTAATATAAATTTTCTTGTATTACCGATTGACCGATTTCCTTATTATCTATATGATTAATTTATTGTTGATACAAATTAGACTAAAATCCCTGCTAAAACCACATAAAATAAAACGGTTAATTTTCAGAATAATTACAAACACAAAAATGTGTTATATAAAATTTATCCGATTTTGTAGCACTTCATATATATTTCCATTACAGGATTAGATGTCATCGAATACGCTGTAATCGATGGACATGTCATGTCCATATCCATTAAAAATTGATTATATGTTTTGATCACTATTTAATATGTCATTGGCTAAGCGTTTGAAGATTTTAAGGTACTCTTCAATATATTTGTGATCGATTTCTTTCGTGCGTCTTGCGGGCTACATAACGTAGTTGGAGATTCACTTGAAACACAACAGACCACTACACACGCGTAACACGATAAATAATCAAAACCGGTTCCGAAAATCAAACTTTTTATTTGCTCCAGGTATTGAGTGTTTAAAATTGTATCATAAAATTATATAAAAATCTGACTTTAGTCTTTTATAAAAAGATTTAAATCTTTTTAGCGACTTAACTCTTTTCTAAAATGACTTAAATATTTTACGATTAAGGCCTTTTTTAATGACTTAATTATTTTTCTACAAATGAAAAGCTTTAGAAAAAATCGGAGAACGCAGACTCATTAAGGATGTGAATATCTACAATTTTTATCTGAAAACTTTTCGTCTAAAATAGATAAAAAAAGCCATAAACTTTTTCAAAAATCTGAAAGGAGCATATGTTTGTCCTCACAAAACTGCAACTTCTTTCCCCATTTGACCGATAGTTACCATATAGTTTCCGAGATACCCATAGTAGAAAACTTATCCTGTATGTGCACGTCAAGTTTTCCAACAGCTTGTCAAAAATATCTAGGTGTTAATCCTTAATCTTTTAGTATCAATGTGAATATTTAAAAAAAAACAATACCGACCGAGCCCCTCAGGCCCAGTCCGACCCTGCTGTCAACAATCTGCCGAATTTTTTCTGATGGCGGAAAATATTTTGGTTAATAATTTTGATTAAAACTATGACACTAAAACTATGTGACACCTGTTTCGCTTATACGAGCATCATTAGACAAAATACTAAAATAACAGCACATACACGTTTACATTTTACATATTAAAACAACACGCTTTAGTGTTATTTTAATACGTAAAATAATCTATGAATTTTAATAAACATAGTGAAATTAACATTAATGAAATCAACATATATTTTTATTTTTAGGTATTCGACCTTTTGCATGTCATATATGCAACAAAACGTTCATTAGGAAAAGAGAATTGGATAGACACGTAGTGACTCATACGGGCGTCAAACCTTTCAAGTGCCCAAAATGCCTCAAAAGTTTTGGAAGGAAAGACAAATTGGTTAGGCATATGCGCATTCACGACAGGCGGGACGGATTCCAAATGAAAAAAATGTTTGGAGGACAAGATAAATTTAGGAAACCCATATTCTTACAGCAGCAACAACAGCAGCAGCAGCAACAGAAGAACGACTAATATTATATAGTTACCAATATTTAAATTTCGTTTTACTTTATTTTGTTGATATTTTATATAGATGAAATATCGTTAAGAGTGCCTCAAAAATATATTTTTTGTTCTGGACTTATTTCTACTACTTATAGACCAAATAGTTAGTTGTTTTAAATTATTGTTATATTTTTTTCTGTGAGAGTAAAAGATATTTTTTTGTAAATTTTATATTGAAAGGTTGTGTAGAATAAATTTTATATTCTCTTTATTACTTCATTTATTACCCATATATTCTATGCACTTCAATCCAAATTTTTTATTAGATATTTTCTACGTCTCATCATGTCGTTCATCAAGATTGACACTTCAAACAACCAATGGGAGCTGTGCTAAATTTAAAATTCACAGCTGTTGTACAAATCTCATTGGTTCTTGTGACGTGTCGCCAGCGATTATCTTTATGTGCTAATTTATATAATACCGCTAAATCGCTTAGCAGCTGATGCGGCTTATACAATATCCTTCCTTCTTTCGTGATTTATATATTCGTACTATTTTTTCCTTTTTGACGTAATATTACGTCTACAGTATGTCCTCGGATTGTCTTTACAAGAGGAAAAAAACTTTTTTAATATCGAGATTTTGAGAAAAGTGCATTCTTCATAAACATTTTTGCTCGTTCTAAAATGGTTAATACAGTTTATACTTTTTCAAATTTCCATACCGTTTTAACAAAAAACTAGTTTTTAAAACTAGTTTATAATCATCTGCTGATGATGCTAACATGGTTAGCGAAACGCGCGTCCAGTGTAAAAGTAAAAGTGTTTTGGTGTATTGGGGTGATTTAGTGTTTTTATTTTGCTGTGTAACACCAAAGGTTCCAACCCTCAACTGTAATTTTAGAGGAAATTAAAAAAATCATGAAAATATATTTGAATTCCTATTTGACTGGCCTATACAGGGTGTCCCAGGCTGAGCGTGCATTAGAAGTGTCTAGAGAACCACAATATCTAGATCGGAGATTTTTTGCACATCATTGTTTTACAACGAGATCTATCGATTAAAAATATTTTCATTATTGCGGCACTTCCGGAAATACCGGAAGTTGACTATAACTTTCTTATTTTAAATGGCCGCCCCTATTTTTTATTACATACTTACACTCTCCGTAAAATTCTATGAATATTGATGTTAAACACTCTATATCTAACATTAACCGTTTTTGAGAAAAAAAAATATTTAAAATTTTTGGACGAAAATAATTACCTGTCAAACAAATTTGTATAGCCTAAAAGTCAAACTTAGTGATTGCTACAGCTACTGTGACATAAAGAGAAGACATGTAGCTATCTATTTCAAAAATTAAATTGTTCAAATGTCATATGATAATGGCGGTAGCTGTTATGGAATTGAGCGATTAAAAAGTTATCATAAATCATTTTTTTCAAATGGAAACCTACTTTTTTTTATTTCAGTAGTGAAAAGATTTTACAATTCGTTATTTTTTAACTATACATGTTCCTATACCAAAAATAAATCTAAAAGTTATTTAAGATTTAGTTTGAAAATGTATATCTTTCTTGATTTTATCTAGCTTCCTTTGACAGTAAGTGTCAAAAAGTCAAACAATTTATTTCCATCTGTCAGAAAACAAATTATTTGAATTTCCTATATTGTAAATACCGTTAATTATAAAAGTTTAAAGCCCTTAAAAGTTTAAAAAGTGTATTTATAAAAATATATCTCGTATTTTCGCTCCTTAGTGATATCTAATAGTTGATATTAATTATATTAATAATGTACTGTATCAACCCTGAGAAAAAAACGCAAAGTTAACTTGCACATGATGATCGATAACATACAACATACTGCTTTTTGAACAAAGTGTCACAATACGACATGGCCAGATCTATTGTTTTACATCACTTGACGTTTAAAGTCATAGGCTACTTGTTAAAATCAAGAAAAATATGCGCTTTAAAACTAAATTTTAAATAACTTAAAAACGATTTATTTTAGGTATCGAAACCTGTATAGTCAAAAAGTAACGAATTGAAAAGCTTTTTCACTAGTGAAATAAAAAAGTGGGTTTCCATTTGAAAAAAATGATTTATGATACTTTTTAAATCGCTCAATTCCATGACAGCTGCAATCATTATTATATGGCATTCAAACAATTTAATTTTTGAAATAGATAGCCACATGTCTTCTCTTTATGGCACAGTGGCTGTGGTAATCACTAAATTTGACGTTTAAACTATACACACCCCCCCCCCTATTTTTGACAGGCAGTTTTTTTCCTCCAAAAATTTTAATTATTTTTTTCTCAAAAATGGTTAATGTTAGATATAGAGTGTTTGATATCAAAATTCATAAAATTTTACAGAGAATTTAAGTATGTAATAAACAATGGGGGCACCCATTTAAAATAAGAAGGTTGTCGTCAACTTCTGGTATTTCCGGGTGTCGCCATATTAAAAATATTTTAATCGATAGATCTCGTTGTGAAACAATGATGTGCAAAAAATCTCTGGTCTAGATATTGTGGTTCTCTAGAAACTTCTAATGCACGCTCAGCCTGGGACACCCTGTATAACGTTTTAGAGAATTAAAAAAATATGAAAATATTATGGTTGAAGATGAATCAAGTTCCAAATATAAAAAACGGGTTTATATATAATATAATTTCGTTTTCATTCTTTTTTGTTGTGTTTGATTTTTATTGATAAAATTTTAATTAACGTAATATTTTTTGCTGTTTTAAACAACAGTTTTAACAAAAGAAGCACAAAATTTATTTAGTTCAATGCTAAGGAAAGGGTGATAATAGTTACCGGAAAATTTGATACTAAAAAATATAACAATAAATGAAAATTAATAATAACCATATCTATCAAAGAATGAAATCTAAATTATATTACCTCCATAGAAAAGAGCTTTGATTTTTAGGACCTCAAAATTTAACCATAATTTCATGTTTTTTATAATTTATAATTATCTCTAAAACGGTATGGAAAATTTAATTTTTATTAAACCTAACTATTTTAGAACAAGCAAAATTTTTTATAAAGAATGCATTTTTCTCAAAATGCCAATAATAAGTGTTTCCTCTTGTAAAGACAATCCGAGGACGTACTGTATGTACAACAATTAATTGTATCTACCGGTTTTATCTCAAGAATGAGATTTATGTACGTCTAAAAAAATGTAAACACATTTTTCAGTGTTTGCCTAATTACCATGTAATATTTCCATTTCGTTGTTTTTTTCCTTGATTATCCAATAAAAAAAAAGTTTTAAAAGGGTTCCTTTTAAAGATAATTTCCTTTTAAAAAAATAAATTTGTCACTTCTTTATTTCCTTTCTTTTTACATTTACTACATATAAATATTTTTTTAAGTTCTCAAATAAAACTTAGATTAATTACAGTATATACTGTGTAAATATAAAAAACAGGTACAAATATTTTGAGAAAACATATCATAAATAGATAACTATAAACGTAAACACAAATTCACAAAAATACTACATACAAAAAAATAACACAAACGAACAGAAAAATATAACACTAATTCGCCACAATACACCAAAACACTTTATTTTTGCATGATTAAAACTAAACTAATTTTGAGCGTTTATATAGGCGCGCAATTGGCACTGACCAAGCGTAACAGAACTAGCAAAGCGAGTCAACCAATCTCAATTAATTACCGAGACTATAGTCCTACAATCCTCTATTTAGCCGCCTATTAGCTGCCCATACACGCAAGGGATTTTTAAAAGATTTGTTCGTTTACGAAAAAAAAAACGTTTACTTGTTTTAAAATGGTTAATCTTTTCCAAATTTCCATACTTTGAAAAAAAATTAAAATATAAAAATACGGTCGAGTTAAAAAAATATATGGTCGAATTTCCTAAAAAGTCCTAAATATTAAAAGGCGTGTCTATGGTAATATAATTTCGATTTCATTCTTTGATAGATGGTTATTATTAATTTTGATTAACGTCATATTTTTTGCTGTTGTTGAAGTATCACATTTTTATTCACATTATTGTTAAAGTATCACAAAACAGCAAGAAATATGATGTTAATTAAAATTCTATCAATAACAATCTGTCAAAGAAGGAAAAACAAAATTACATTACCATAGAAACGCGTTTTAATTTTTATGGCTTCAACTATATTTTCATGTTTTTTTTTATTTTCTCAAAGCCCCGTTCTCAGAACTTTGTATTGTCGAGCGACATGTCAAAAGAACCAATGATATTTGCACAAAATTCAAAATTGACAGCTGTTTGAATTTTGTACAAATCTGATTGGTTCATTTGACGTGTCGCTGTTTTGAGAACGGGGCTGGAAACGGTATGGAAATTTAGAATAGTATAAACTAAATTATATTTTAGAAAAAGCAAAAATTTTTATGAAATATCAAAATGTCGATAATAAAAGTTTTTTTTTCTGTAAAGATAAGCTGGAGATTGCTTCCAGTTCTCTGATCCCATTCCTCTAGTCTCGGTAATTAATTATTACGCTCGATCGGTTTTGTTACTCTTGGTCAGTGCCAACTGCGCGCCTGTATAAACACTCAATTTGTAGATTTTAGTTTAGTATTAATTATTTGCTGATGATGCTAACATATTTATCAAACATGTTAGCATCCAGGCGTCTAGTGTTTAAGTATAGTGTTTTGACATAGTGTGGTGAATTAGTGTTTTGTTTTGTCACTATACAAAGTTAAACATTATAAAAACAAAACCATTAGTGTCCTAGAGAAGAATGGACATAAAATTGTTTGAACATTGTAATTATTTTTAAAGATAAATAAAAATAATATCGAGTATATAGAATATACAGGGTGTCAAAAAATAGTTTATCTAACTTTGGTGGGTGATTCCACAGATAAAAATAAAACAAAATGCCCCTATGAACATATGCCCTAAAATGCTTCCCGAAGAAATTACCGCCCTCAAAAGGTCAAATAAAAATAATATATTTTGTTCATTTTTAAGAATATTGGTAAACCATTTTTCTTGAAATTTGGTACTTTTAACCCTTAAGTACTAACACCCCGTCTCACAGACGCAACGGACTAGCTGGACATATGACATCTCCTCTCCTCTCCACTTCTAATTATCATCCAACTATGTAATTTCAATACGCATCAAAACAAGTTAAAAGCCGGCAGGACAATTTGCGAAAGTGTGTAGTTTTCGAAATATTTTAGTTCAAACTGTCGATGCCGTCTGACAGACGGAGTGTTAGCGTTAACGTAAGTTTATTTTAAATTTGTGGAAGGAATCAAGAACCCAGTAGCTCAAAACATGTAAAGTATGGCAAGAAAAATTACAAGGATACTCTTCTAAAGTGGTTTGAAGGGACTGGCAGCGATAATAGCAAAATAGTGACATAGAATCCAAATGTGGCGAAAATTTTGCCATAGAAAGCGATCATAATTCTGAATTCGAATTAGAAGGTAAAAAACGGTTTTTAGCTAATATCTAACGGTATGTAGTTGTGTATGTTTTGTTATAGATGATGAAAATATGGATGTGAACGATCAGTAAACTAATATCGAAGAAACTGAAGAGAACAATTTGTTTGGAATGCGCAAAAAAGTGTGTAGGGAACAAGCCCATCTTCAGGCATTGTCATTTTTTTATTCTTTATATTTTCTTTTGCTTTTTTGTGCTTAATAGATAGGTTTTTATATGCTAAATATAATAATCAATATATTTTTTCATTTTCCTTTCGTTTTTTTTTTCTATCTCGATGAGAAACAAAGATATGTCAAAAATCCAAAATTAGTACTTTTATTTCAAAAATATAAAACATGTTTGCATAATATAAGCATTAGATATTTTTTTCCTGTAGTTTTAATGCTAATGATTCACTCCACTTACAAAAAATCTGTTAGACACGAACAAAATATGATTTTTTTTAATGCGTCTCTCAGACGGTTAGTTAGTATAGGCGCGACTATTTCAATATGTTAGTACTTAAGGGTTAAATATATTTTAATGCCAAAGCGAATGGCGATAGTGTAAAATTCCGTAACAGCCCTGAAAGGGTACTTTCCATTAGGGTAGAGAGTACTACTGGTGGTACTTCTTTTATCGTTATAGATACTGTAATTTCAATAAATGGAAATTAAAGCTAGAACTTTTTTATGTAAAAAGGTGCCCTTTGTTTAGTTCAAAACAGTGAACGGTTTTCAAGATATTTGCGTTGTTGAAAATATCTTGAAAACTGTTCACTGTTTTGAACTAGATGAAGAGCAACTTTTTAACATAAAAAGTCCTAGTTTTAATTTTCATTTATTAAAATTACAGCATTTATAAGGATAAAAGAAGTACCACCAGTAGTACTCTACTCTAATGGAAAGTACCCTTTCAGGGCTGTTACGGAATTTTACACTATCGCCATTCGCTTTGGCATTAAAATATGTTTAAGAGTACCAAATTTCAAGAAAAACGGTTTACCAATGTTCTTAAAAATAAACAAAATATATTTTTTTTATTTAATCTTTCGAAGGCTGTAATTTCTTCAGGAAGCATTTTAAGACATATGTTCATAGGAACTTTTTGTTTTATTTTTATCTGTAGAACCACCGAAGTTAGATACACTATTTTTTTGACACCCTGTATATTAGAATCGCCTTGATATATCTACCTGTAAAAATACATTTAAAATTTGCCTTCGATAGGACTTTGTAGGTATAAAGTTTCTTTTAAAACACATAAGTACATATTAAAAAATACATAAAAATATTTGTTTCTCTCTCTCTCATCTATCTAAAATTTTCGATATGAACATCATATCGGTCAACTTTGTGTTGTTCATAATACATTCTTGCCTAGAACACTGGCTATATTTGTAAAACATAAAAAAGGAGTATATTAAAAAAATACTTGTCAGTTTAAATGGTTCCCCTTTTAACAGTGCCAAAGCCCGGGTCCGATTCGCCTCTCAGAAATAAAACCAAATGCATATCTTTGGCGTATAGCGTGACTCGTTTGGCGTGTCTGCTGCACTTGTACGAGTCGGTAAATAGCTGTACAAGGTAAGTTTCGGCCGCTTCCTGTATGGCTTGCAGCGCCGTCAGTTGTATCTTTAAATCGTCCATGTAGTCTTGCATTATTTCACGTACGACCCGGCCGAAGGACAACCTCGGTATTAGGGTGTCGGTGCTCCGTTGCAGTCTATTCATTTGTCCAATCATTTTCTTCGTACAGGCCAGTTTAACGTTGTTTACGTAGTAGAACGTGGTGCCGTTTTTCTTTTTCGACGGAGTGCGGCTATTTCGGACCATCTACAACAGAGATGAGAGAAAAAATCCATAAAGATTTCATTCAGAAAAACAATTTTATACAAGTTAAAAAAAAATATTTCTTTCATACCTTGGATACTTAGTCCAAGTTAGTCCCAGTTTAATTCGAATTGCGGTGTCTTTTCCTTCTGTTTAAAACTTTTTTTGCAAAATATTCGGTTAAAAAATAGTAAAAACTTGCTTCTTGAGCTTCCAAAAACAGAAAACGGCAGAAAGTTGTCTCTAAAAAATCGGTTTAACGGTTACATTCTGCCAAAGAGGTTATATTTTTTGAGTTTTGGCGCCAATTTTGATGGAAGGGAGGGTGGTAGGGATGGTAAGAATGTATCGATATCATTATCGATATTATCGATTAAAGAAAATACAAACAACAAACAAACAAACAACGCTTTATTGTGCAAAAAGCCAAAACAGCTTCATCGACAAAGCACTCACAAGCACTCACAAAACAAACAAAAGCACAAAAAAAATATACAAACAAAAAATACACAATACAAATCATACAATTCAAAAAAAATTAAGTCATTAAAATTACAAAAAGAACATACATGGACAATTGCAGAACAGTAAGCAGTAAATATATATAATTTTAAGAGTTATAAAATATTAAATACTTGACCTTTGATCAGTGTGTGGGATGCTCTAAATTTTAAAATTCAAAATTGTTCATGATTAAACATCAACAAAAAAGTCGTTTACCACATATAGGGCTCTCTCCAGTAAGTATGATTTCAGAGCTTTGCGAAATGCGGAAAAGAATGAAAGCGACTTGATATGCAAAGGCAGATGATTGTACATTTTTTTGGCATTGTACAGTATTGAACCTTTAACTAGTTCTGAGCTCGGGGTTGGCAGATAAAGATCGTGCTCCGCATTCCTAAGTGGATAGTTCTGAGATGGCCTTTCGGGAATAGCAGATATGTACTTACGGATTAAGCAAACGGATTCAAAAATGAATAAGGAAGGGTCAGTATTTTGAAATTTTTAAAGAAATTCTGGCAGTGAGTTCTACTGTTCAGTCCCAATAAATATCGAACTGCTCTCTTTTGAAGTTTGAAAATACGATCAAATTTTGTCGCGCAGCAAGTACCCCAGAATGGAAGGGCATAACGAAGATGTGACTCAAAAAGGGCATAATAGGCTGTTCTAGAGATTGATAAGTTAGTTCCTTATAAACTGATCTTAGCGCAAAACAGGCAGCGCTTATATAGTTTCTTTGATAGAGCTTCTATGTGAAAGTCCCATTTTAACGAGTTAGTCCTAAGAATTTCACAGAGTCCACGACGTCAATAGTGGTGTTATTAAGTACAAAAGGTTGTATAGTACTTTTATATGACAAAACTTTAGTTTTTGATAGGTTGAGGCATAGGAGATTAGAATCGCACCGAGATTTAATGGTGCGTAAGTCACTGGATATAGTATCATATAGTGCTGTAATATCTGGGACGCTCCAAGTGAAACTAGTATCGTCCGCAAAGAAGCAGATTTTACCGCTAATGTCTAGATTTGCAATGTCGTTGATAAACACCAGAAACAAAATACGGCCAAGTATACTGAACCCTGAGGGACATCACATTCTATAGGCTTACAAGAAGACATAAACGTATCAATCCTCACAAACTGCCCTCTCTTGCCAAGATATGACTTAAGCCATTCGAGCGGCACTCCTCTGAATCCATAGTATTGCAATTTGTTAATTAAGATATTATGATTTACACAGTCGAAAGCCTCAGAGAAATCACAGAAAATTGTAGCTGTAGAGTGATTTATTCAGGCTAGAGTATACATTATTAAAAAGGTTGAACATAGCATCATTTGTGCAACCGTTACTTAGAAATCCAAATTGATGGGTAGTAAGTATTTTATATTTAAGGAGAAAAGATAGAAGCTTTTTTTAACCAATCTTTCAATGATCTTATATAATGTGGGCAGGAATGTAATTGGGCGATAGTTTGAAGCTTCATCTTTATCTTCTCCTTTATGCAGAGGAATAATTATTGCTGTCTTAAGGCAATTTGGAAAAACTCCTTTTTGGAATGACTCGTTAATTAAAGTAGTAAGATGGATTAATGTGCATTCAGAAAGTTCAGAGAACATTTTGAGAGCAAGCCCATCAGTCCCAGATGAGGATTTGTTTTTAATACTATTAATTGTACTACGGAACTCATCTAATGCTACGGGCGTGAAGAAGAGACTGTGCAAATTCTCATTTGCTTTAAAATTTTTTTTTTCTTTTTTTTTTTGAGTTACGGTGTTCACTAAATTTTTAGCCACATTAACAAAGTAAGTGTTTAAATCTTCATGTGAATTAAAGACTGTGCCAGACGAAGAAGTCTTATTCCTTAAGTCATTTACAATAGCCCAAGTCTCCTTAGCGACATTACCGGCTTTGGCTAGCCTCGCATTATAATAAATGTCCTTGGCAGCTTTTATAGTCTTACGATAAACCTTTCTATAAAGTTTCACGTAATTATGAAAGAAGACGCTGTCCGTTAATTTCTTAAGGTGAGATAATGAGCGCATGTTCTTTGCAGATATACGCAAGCCTGTATATAGTAGACCAAGTTTTTAACCATGTTTAATTTTGATAGACCTAAGAGGAAACGCCTTGTAAGCCAGATGTGAGCCAGATTAGACAAGGTATCCATAAATCTAGAAAACTCGAAATCGATGTCAACCGAGAGGACAACCCACTCAGTTGTTAGACATAGGTGGTGAAAATTTAGAAAATTTTTATCCGAAAAAATACGGCCCAATTTGCACGGGGTATTTTTGCATTTGGATTTTGGCAAAAACTTTGTCAATATTGCCTAATGATCAGAGAAACCTGAGTGAAGGACTCTACAGTCAACGAACTCCGGGTCAAAAGACGACATGACATAGTCTATATAGAAGTCCCAAGCAACACAGATAGTTCCAAATCCTTTCGGTTTAAGACTGGCTACCAAAACATAGTTCCTGGATGCACCCTGTTACCAAATTTGCCACTATATCCGGTAATACCACTGCAAAGCATTTTTGGATAGTATCTATTATCACTCTGTTACTAGTCATTTGGAATTGAAACACCCAAAATTAAGGTAGCAAATGGGTTGTTGCGTCTAGTAACTTAGGACTAAATTTAGGACTACGCAAATCCTTTCATTGTTACCACTAAGTGGCGAAATCTACATAGTGACAATAAATATGGAACGGCTACCAGCCTGTGCTACTAAAATGGGTGTAGGAAGTACTTGTTACTATATAGTCCCATGCTTAGTTGCAGAATAGTCGCAGTACCCTATATTTTGTGTCTTAAAGTTAGGGGGCATTTGGGTACTAATTGTTGGTCCCAAAACATTAACTGCGACTATGGTTTGTTACTATAAAGTAACGGGCACTATACTCCTATTGACGTCTTGCTACTATAAAGTTGTGGAAACTAAAAAATATTTCTTTATAGTAGCAGATCGCGTATTTACCCATCCTGTCCGTTACCACAAGAATAAAGATCAGTAAAATTGTTTGTTCACTGCGCTGCTAGTGGAACTTCCTAGACAAGTTTATCAGGATAAAGGGTTTATTGGATTAAATTTAGAGAAATATGACTGGGCTTTGACAATAAATTATTTTAAATCTATTTTTGGAAATTCATATACATATTATTATGTTATAATTGTCGTATTTTCTATATATTTGTAAAGTTCTTATAGCTGCATTTTTCTAGGAATGTCGAATACTGATGAATTTAAAGATAAAACAGAGCTCAGAGAAAAAAGTAACATCAGTCAGGAACTAAGGCATTGGGCCTTAAAACACCAAATTAGCCACATTGCTTTAACAGATTTACTTGGTATAAAAATCAAGGCTTAACATCATTGCCAGGAAACAGCATGACTTTATTGAGTACACCGAGATATTGTGCCATTGTTCCAATGGTTAATCGAGAATTTTGGTACAATGGAATAAGGAAGATTTTAGTAGCACGTTTATCCGAAGAGACCAACCTAGAATCGGAGTCTCTAATTTTTAATGTTGACGGCTTGCCTCCATTTAAGTGTTCTCCATTAGAATTTTGGCCAATACTCCTAAAAATGCATGAATACCCTTGCGATCAACCCATGGTGGCAGCTATTTATTGTGGCGAGTCAAAACCTCCATTACAAGAGTTTTTACATGATTTTGTAACAGAATTAAATGCGATTTTGGAGACTGGAATTAATGTAAATCAGATTAGGGTGAAAGTAAAAATTCGATTTTCTCATTCATCATTTTTTTTTATTCAATTGTTTTTGGTCACTTCATGTTTCACCGGAAAAGACAACTTTTGATTTTTAAATGGCACCCTCAATATTTTTTGCTTAATTCAATAGCAAATGACACTCTGAATAGAATGACATATCATAATATGACATTTTCTCATATGGTTTATTTGAAATTGTAACATCGGCTCATAATGGCAATTTGACTCGAAATACCAAGTGTGTGGTACCAAATTATTCGTAAAAAATGCTTTTTTCAAATATGCTAATAAGTCCTCCTCGTTCCGTTTGAAAATATTGAGATATGATTAAAAATACAATTTAGGTATCTTTTAACTAGTCAGGACAAGACACATAATAGTGTTCTTAAATTGTTTTGAGATGAGAGGTGGCGGAACTTTATAGAAACACATGGAACTATATTGTCACAAAATGCCTGACTGTCCGACTTTTTGGCTGTTCAAAGTAACTTTCTAGTCCCAGTAGTTACCATAGTGTACAAAATTTAAATACATTTAAGCATAATCAAGTTCCAAAGTAGTAACAAATACTACAAAGTAACTTTTGGGTAGTAATAACTTAATCACTGGAAGTCGCGGATCTTTTAAAGTAAAAAATGGGTAGTCCCTGCTACTTCATAGGGAAGAACCTAACTTTATCGTAGCGAAGTGTGCGTCAGCCATTTTTTACTGTCAGACATGTTTTAATTAAATTTATTTGTTAATATATTTTCATTTTTTC